TGTGATAATAATGATATTTTTGTAATGGCGTAAGCTGCATCTCACATCTCCAATGGATTTTCCTGATCAAGCAATGACCCAAACCAGCCAATTTTTTCTTGATGATGAAAATTCCAAAGATTGAGATAAGTCATTCTCAACATGAAATGATGATCCGGATAATTGAAGGAGCAGAGCTTCAGTTTTCTTTTGAAGTCGCAAGGAGGATAGCTTGAAGAAAAATGATGAAGTAATTGTAGGGAAGAAGAGATGAGAATTGCAAAGTGAGACTGTAAAAAAAAGTACGCTTGGAAGAATGAGCTCAGACAACACGTTAATTACTTTGTCTATTTTGGAGGATTGATAATCCAGTTTCGATCTCTATGAGATAATCATGTATCCCTTTAGATAATTATTGTTAGATAATCTACTAAATCAATATACAATTCTTTCGAGCCAAATGGTGAGGAAGGTCTATGTGCGAGAGGAAAAGAGAGTGAGGGGCAGTGGCCATGGTTAGCAATGTAGCGGATCTATGATTTGAAAGTCAACTGGGCAAAACTTACATATTAAATTTGATGGTACAAGTGAATTTAATTAATAAGCAAAAAATATACACCTAGTCAGGGGAGCCGTAACGAGCCTTACCTCTCAAATTCTATACATAAGTAAAAGCTTAACAAAAATAACAAAATAACTAAAACAAAAGACACCTTCAAATGCATCTCTATGCAAAAGTAAAAGCTTTAAAAAGAATAAGTAATAATAAAAACAGAAACCACAAATAAATTAATGCAATGCAATACAAAATAAAACTATTTAAATCTAAAATTTAAACCCTAGAATTTCAGTTTCAAATTACAACTAAAATTAAAAATACATACATGTATTTAGGAGAAATTCAAGAGTAGAAGCTAAGAGAAGTGGAGAGAAATCAGAAGAACTGAAGAAGCTAAGAGAGAGACGATGAGAGATGCGAAGAAGTCGGAAACTTTTGGCCAAGGCTTACTAACTTTATTTAGGTTTTTTTCTCAGAAAATTTTGGGCCGGGCAATAGCCCAAGTAGATCCACCCCTGGTGGAGATAGTGAGCAGCAGTGGCACCGTGAGGGGGCTAGGTCGGGAAGGAGGTATCGCTATTTGGGAAATTTTAATTTTTTATTTGTTATTTCATAAGTGTTGGCTAAGGTGGAAATGGTGAGTTTTGGGTTCTTACAATTAAGCTGATGTGGCTTATGAGAATTCATTATATTAATTTAATAATTAGTATTTGTTTAAAAACGTATAATTATAGCGATGCTAAATGCAGAAATTCGAACCTTCGCTATTTTTATCAAGTTAGAAAAAGACATCTTGCATAATTGTAATATTTGCTTATGGATATATATTGTCTTTGGAATAAAATAGTCCATGGTGTAGCAACGGACCCATTATTACTGTAGTTGTTTGGAGCAATTGCTATTATAGAAATTATAGTTTTCCTTTTCCGTAAAGCCAAATACAAAAACATTTATATTATAAATAACTTATAAACAAATTGGAAAGCTTTTAAGGTACAATGAAATTGAAGAAAACAAAATAATAGGTAAGTAAAGCAAAATAAATAATAAGTAAGAAGGTGAGTTTGGTACGATGAAGCACGTCAAAGACACTGTCCTAAAGCCTTTGTAGCCTCCCTACGTGTAGGTACTGACGGTCTACACTTTAAAATACGACCCCTTGTACACAAACTTAAGATCTACTATGAGCACGTTCATAGAAGGATGTAGGTATCCAAGTCACAGAACCATTGTCAAAATAATAATATAAAGTAGAGAATATATATAAAATTATAAAATGAGAAAATTAGTTTGTGGTGATGATTGTGGTATGTGATATTTTGATAGTGTATTGTGGGTGTTGCAAATGTGAAGGAGGAATGACCTTATAAGCATCTAAGAACATGTAACATTCACTAACCAGAAAATTAAGGCATTCAATATAGAAATAAAACTTGAATATTAAATATTTATAACCTTCACAATAAATAAAATAAAACGGCCAATATAATAAATAAATAAAACGGTTAAATTTTTAAAACCTTTTTAAAAATTCCAATAATTGCTCCCCTCAGGGTTCGAGTCCTAACATCCAGTGTAGTGTGTGTGAGTTTAGAATATTATCATATCGCCCCTTTTAATAGAAAAAAGTCAACGGTTTATGAAAAAAAAAAAAAAAAAAAAAAAAAGATTTAAAAAATATGAACTACAATATTCAAAATTTGACATTATTATTAGAAAAAGTCACCAATAAATGACTTGTAATAGCTCACAAAAAAAATATAAGACATAAGTTGCATAGCCAAGCCAAATGTGCTTACTCAAAAGAAAATGGTAAATTTGGCAACGAAACTATAAATATTTTCTTGTTTTGTATTGGAGAATGGGGAATCAAATTTAGGAATTCAGTCGCATGGGTAAATGCTCTTAATCACTTGAGCTACAAATGCATGGTAAATGTTTTCTTTTTTGGTATTGGTGGGTATTGAGAGAGAGAGAAATCAAACTTAGGACTTCGGGTGCAGGGGGTAAATACTCTAAACCACTTGAGTTACAAATGGTAAATGTTTTCTTTTATGGTATTGATTGAGGGAGGGAGAATCAAACCTTGGACCTCAATACGCACGGATAAATACTTTTAACCACTTGAGCTACAAACTCTCTTTGCATATAGCTATTTTTTTTAATTTATATATTATATGAATGCTTCCTAAGTTAAGAATTAATTACTTTTTGTATGTAGTACGGTAATGTGAGGTAATGTGAGCTTTAGGACTAAGTCTTTTTAATTTATTTATATATATTATATGAATGCATTCTAAGGTAAGAATTAATTACTTTTTGGTATATATAGTACGATAATGTGAGCTTTACGATTAAGTTTTGAACAGGTTGCTAAATGTATAGTTTAGGTAGGTTCATTGCTTAATGTATACACATGTGCGCATATATATATATATATATATATATATATATAAAAGTGATATTGAGAGGGAAAAGATGGAACACAACACTTCAGGTGCAGGTATAATCACTTGAGCTGCAAGGACTTGCAGTTCAAAATTCAGATTGAATAGACCAAAAAAGAGACAAACAATATATTCAAATCACAACTATCAAAAAGCATTCAATTGGATTAGCATTTGCTTAAATTCTAGTCAAACCACAAAGAACTTGTAACGCAAGTTAGTTAAGAGCATTAATTCAACCTGTCATTTCTTCCATTTCCCTAATAACATCTGTATAAAAATTTAAAAATTTATGGTAAATCCTATATCAAGAAAAAAAAAAAAAAAAAAAAAAAAAAAAAAAAAAAAAAAAAAAAAAAAAAATGATAAAAATAAAAAATGTGGAGACACCTCGTGGTATTTGCCAAAAAATAAAAAAAAAGTCCCTACATAGGTTAATGAAAAAAAAAACATGAACTATACCCAAGACTTCGATATGGGTTTTGAATCTGTCAAATTATCCACTTTTAAACAATTTTGCTGGTCAAAGCATCATTTAGGTGCATTTAATTAGTAGTAAATTTGGCTTACACCCTTCAAATACAATTTGTCATACCTAAAACCCTTCACTTTTTGTTCCTATAAATAATACCCAATTTGTACAAGTAAAAACCCATGACTAGGATCCAACTCAGCAAGTTACCTAATTAAGCATAAAATCTGATTTATTGTACTTTTCAGATTCCAAAAATACCCCCAACTAAGCCATTATTGCATTTTGTATATTAATGTAGGAATCAATATGGAAACAGTTTTTAATTTGATTGTATATAATGACAGATGTTGAATTTGGAAAGATCTCCAAATGGTTGTATATAGGAATTAATTAGGAATTTTGAATTTTAAAAAAAAAAAAAAAAAAAAAAAATAAAATAAATTCAAATTTGGGTAATTGGTTTGTTTAATAAAATGTTTATGTTATTTTCTTTTTATGAATTATACATGACTAATAGTCCACTTTATAATTGTTTATGAATAAAACTGTACATACTAATTATGTTGAAAAAATAATGTACCTATTTTTTTTATGAAAAATATAATTTACCTAGTATGAAAAGTGTACATAATTATCTATTCCAATATACCTACATTAATTTTAATGTACTTACAATTAGGATTTAGGTATTATATGTCATCCAATGTACCTACCATTTGAATAATATACCTACTACAAATAAAGTACCTATTATTTATCTAAATAATGTACCTATTTTTTTCTATAAATAATATAGCCTTTTTTCTCTGAATAGTACCTATTATTTGTTTTATTAAACGTAATTTTTTTAAATTAACCTATTTTCTCTCTCCAAATAACTTACCAATTTTTTTCCTCTAATAATGTACCTATCTTTCCTCTCCAAATAATGTACCTATATTTTATATAAATTATTGTGTACCTATTTTTAATTATGAAAAATATACGCAATTACAAAGTAACTGACTTTTTTTTTGGGGGTAAATAATATACCTATATTTTATATGTATATATTTATATTATATTTTTCATAGGTACATTATTGGATATGTAATTTACAGATTTTTTTTTTGTTTGCAATTTTAGGGGGCAAGATGTGAGAGGGAATGACAACTAAAAGAAATGGGGTGATTGATATGCTATTAATAGGGAGTATATTAATTACAATTATGGCAGTTAATGAAATGCTTAAATAAATTATAAATAAAATATGAAGTTTAGTGGCAACGATGTAAAAACATAGAAATACTACGACCTCTTATATCCTACTGGTCATTTAAATTTGAAATTGGGTTTTACACATAGATTTATAGAGTGATGGGTATATGTCTAAGAAATAGAAAATGTAGGGATCTATATTGGACAAGCCCTTTAATTAATCACCAAATTCTAACAGATATCTTTTTGTATTGTATTTATGACTCTCTGGTTATATAGAACAAGACCGTTCTAGTATATAATATGTCAATGTGTTGTTGTCTTTATCTTTCTCACGCTAGCCATGGTAGCATATCATTCATCACTTTTCCTCATTGCATTTGCCATTACATTTTCCATTATTTTCCTCCCAATTCTCTCGCTCACAGAAGATGATCATCTCAATGGAATTGGCTTTAGCCTTGAAATGATCCACCGTGATTCCCCGGCATCTCCCTTATACAATCAATCCGAAAGTCGTTGGCAACGGGTAAGCAACGCCTTGCAACGTTCGCATCACCGTATGGTCAGCCATTTCAGCAGAAGAAATTCAGCACTTCGTGCTCCGAGTCCTGTAGCTGAATCCCATTTAATTTATATTGGAGGAGAGTATTTGGTGAACATATCAATTGGGACACCACCCAAAACTTTTATTGGCATTGTTGACACAGGGGGCGATCTTACATGGACACAATGCAAGCCATGTATGGACTGTTTCAAGCAAAACCCCCCTCTCTTTGATCCCAGTTCTTCCTCAACCTATAAGCCCCTTTCTTGTTTGTCCAAGGAATGCCATTTGCTAAATGAAGCCTCTTGTTCAGATGCAAACTTTTGCTATTATAATTATACATATGGGGACATGTCCTACACCACTGGAAATCTGTCCTTGGACACAGTTACGTTGGCTTCCAGTACTACAGGCAAGCCTATATCGATTCCGAACACGATATTTGGTTGTGGACACCACAATGGAGGAATCTTCAGTGGGATTGAGTCTGGAATAGTTGGACTTGGAAGTGGAGCTGTGTCACTTTTATCCCGAATCGGCTATGCGGTTGGAGGGAAATCTTTCTCTTATTGCTTGGTGCCGACGACTTATGAACAATCCGATTCCGATCCAATCCTGGGAGCCAAACAAGGTCAGCGTGAAATTTCAAGCACGATATATTTCGGCGATAAAGTTTCAGGTCATGATGTGGTCTCAACCCCTTTGCTGTCAAATGGTTCGGAAACCTACTATTACCTTGAGCTTCAAGGCATTAGCGTTGGTGCCGACAATTTTAAACTTGATGCTGACAATTCACAATCTTTTAAGGGCAACATCATCATAGACTCTGGGACTACCTCAACATTTTTGCCTACAAAACTTTATCAAAGTTTTGAATCAGCAATTAGAAAGGCAGTTCATCTGGAGGTGACCAAAGATCCAACTGGCATACTACAGCTTTGCTACAAGACTAAATCTGAAATCGAAGACCCTATCGTCACCTTCCATTTCAATGGTGCAGATGTGAAGCTAAAACCTGTAAACGTTTTTGTTAGGGTTAGAGAAGATATTGTCTGTCTTTCATTTTCCCCAACCAATGATGTGGCAATCTATGGCAATGTAGCACAGATGAACTTCTTGGTAGGATATGACCTAGATAACAAGACTCTGTCCTTTAAGTCAACTGATCAATGTACCTGGTAAAAGTTGGTATATGTGCATGAATTTTGTTTTCCATATATATCTTAATCATACCAGCTGATTAAAAGTTAGAGAAGATATTGTCTGTCTTTTCATGAATTTTGTTAAAAGTTGGTAAAAGTTAGAGAAGATATTGTCTGTCTTTCATTTTCCCCAACCAATGATGTGGCAATCTATGGCAATGCAGCACAGATGAACTTCTTGGTAGGATATGACCTAGATAATAAGACTCTGTCCTTTAAGTCAACTGATCAATGTACCTAGTAAAAGTTGGTATCTGTGCATGAATTTTGTTTTCCATATATATCTTAATCATACCAGCTGATAATAAAATGGCTGTTTTTGGGTAGCATTGTTTTGAAGTACCCTGCATTGCTAATTTGTTTACTCAAGTGTAAATCTGGACTAGTCTAGTGGAAAAAGTCATTGACTTGTAGACCAGGTGTATACATGAATTTTTTAATTTTTAAATAAAAAATAAATGACAATTTGATCGACAATCAAGAAATTCAAGTTTGACAATTTGGTCGGCTAAAGATAATTAGTACAAGTCAACATTTGGGATTAGTTTTGAATAATTTAATTTCCATAAGAACGGCGAATTAGCTTTGAATTATTAAATTTATAAATAAAAGGATTTGATTTTAACCACTTGTCAAACCAGTCAAATTCGACCATCACAAACCCCACTAACACGAAGTTTGGCTTTGTAGCTTAAATCCAGTTTGAAGGCGAAAGTTTTTAATACAAACGATATTCTACTTAATTTAATCTAAATTTGGAGGGGGATTCAAACTTAGGTGCAGAGTGGGGAGCACGTATGCTCTAGCCAATTTAACTAAGCCAATACCTGTTAGAGACGACACTTATATCCAAACGAAATTACAAAAGAGTGTAACTCTCACAACCCCAAATCTCACATAGACCCAAATCAATCTCACAAAAATGAGCAAAGAGCAAAAACAAAATCTTGCTCCAAATAAATTGCTCATTTGTGTGAGTAATTTGAGCGTGTGTGGGATTTAGGCTGGGAGAGTTAAATACTCTTTTATAATTAGCTTTTGTTGTCGTCTTCAAACTAGATGTTACAAAGCCGAAACAGCTCCAACAAAGAGAATTTTATTTCTGATTTGATCTTACCAGTGCTACTACAAATACACTCACAAGACAAAAGAGAAAAAGTCTGTCACTTTACATAACTAATTCTAGAATCACTATCCCAAGCTGAGCGTCTGAAGGTAAGAAACATATGCACTTCAGTCTTTAGAAAAAAATAGTCTCTGTCATAAAAATTAGCTACCAAAAAATTGACATTAAATCTAAAAGAAAAGCATGCACTGCAATAACGAGGGGCCGCTACGTGTCAATTAACTCTTTATTTACATGTAGATTGGAACCCCATAGAAGCATACCTTGTGCTTAAAAGCAAAGCAGCTCCATTTTGAGAAACCTTCATAGAGTTTGCAAATAGTTAAATCTGAACATTAACCGGAAAGAAGCACAAAATCTGGAGAAACATCAATATGATATACTTACTTCCACGTCATTCTGAGCACCCTTAGAGGAATCTATTTCGGAAACATCTTTTAAGCTACTTTAGAAAGGGCTCTTTCATTCAGTTTCCCTGGAGTAATATCTACAAAAGCTGTGAGTATAAAATGCACTTAGAATCCCTAACAAGCAACTTGTGAAAGCAAACATTTCAAATTCAATATCCAAATTATAGCAGCCTGTCAAAAATCTCTTGAAATATTGATGGCCATTATTTATCACAGAAATATTCAATCTCTTAACTACGTGTTGTGTCAAAATAAGACAGGTCAAATCATCAGCCACCAAACATCATGACACCTCACACAATAAGCCTTGATCTGTGCCACTGGCAACCCTACTTTTTAGACATTAAATCATCCATAAAAACAAAGATAAAAAAAAATGTACCTCTAAATCAGGTTATGCTTTCTACATTTGAAATCAAATGATGTCTATTCATGGATCCTAGCTGTTTGTTCATGATCAAACAACTTGAAATGAAACACAAACAATATCCCACATAAATTCATTAAAAAAGAGTAATGCAACTTCTTCTGATAAGTTTCAAATCATTCAATGCAACAGATTTATCAGAAAGCATCAGACAGTTGTGCCTCTCCATTGAAAGTAAAATGTGGAGAATTTAAATCCTGAGAGTCTAGCACTAACAGTTTTTTGGTTAAGTTTGCAAATACTTTGTTGACATTTCTTACCTTAAAAAAGGGAAATACAATGAATATTTATTCAGAAAACTTCCTTTGAAAGAACTTGTTGACGTATAGGAAATTAGTCCCCTTTAACCAAATACAATGCAGAGGCACTAATCAGCAGTAAAACACAGAAGGTAGTTAAAACTAAAACTGAGTAAAAAGCCAAAGTAAGAAATGAATCAAAATTTTCAAACTATACTTGTTAAGTACTTCCAAAGCGCATTCCAACCTTATGCATCATTTTGAGTTTCTCATATAACATACAAAATGGAAATCTAGTACTTTATACGGTATTTGGGTTACTTTATTGGCCCCCCGCTAGCTTGATATAAAGAAAGGAGGAATGCAAATGGAACAACCTGCAGGATATATTGTCCATGAGGGGTCTTCAAAGAAAGTATCACCTTAACAAAGCCACCTATGGGCTTAAGCAATCTCGACATGGATGAATTTATAAATCGGAAGCAATAGCGACTATCAGGTATAAACTGAGTGGTTTTTCCCATCATTCAGTGTCTGCTTGTCATGGTTCACTTAACTTTATGTATATATTTTCTAAAGTCAGCTCGCATTCCTCTCCACTATTTTTTCTATCTTATCCATCAACTACCAAATCCCCAAGAATAAAAAATCACTTTTTTCTATAGATGGACTAGTGAGGTCACAATTTCTTAATAATGATTTCATGTAAGAGTCAAAACAAAAAACTACATACTTTCTCGCAGGGGATCTCAAAAAGCCTCAGCATATGATATGGTATTACAGATTTGGAGAGCTCAGACCCAGATTTCGCTCATCCTGTTCTTGCATCCAGCAAAAAGTGATAATTTAGAGTATCCACATGTATTTAGAACAAAGTTTTCAAGAATGTATGGTCACTCTAGAAGTGGATTCACCGTTTTATGACTGTTTGGGGAACTCAAAATTTAAATTTCCCCCTTAAGATAAAATTCAATCATTCTAATTATTTAACCAATATTTTTTAACATTGAAAAAAAATATATCATGGATTAGAAGCCCAAGTAAAACTAGTTATTAAAAAAGTAAAGGAAAAAAATGATAGACATAAAAGTGCATAAATTCATTATCAGACTAATAACTTCTAGGGCACATACAAATTGCTATTGAGCTATACACACAAAGTTCATAGAGAAATATTAAGCCACGAAGAATTCTTATGCAATATAAAGTAGAGACTATGGTAAGAGTGATTCTTGATTACCAAAACTGTTCTGTTTCTTCTACTTTCTTTTCATTTTTGACATTAGTGGCAGGTGTAGCTAGTGTAGCTGGTGTGGCTGGTGCAGCTGATGCTTGCATCTACTCTGCTTGCAGATACATCTATTGTCACAGAAGGTAGAGAAGCAGCTGGAAAGGGTGAGGTGGAAGACCCTGAGCTGGAGCTGATAAAAATGGAAAAGGTGATCCAGGAGATAACGCAGCATTGTTGAACAGGTTATTTCGTGAACTCATTTGGCCCATCAAAGTCTCAAAAGCATGTTGCATTGCATATTTCTGAATGACATCAAAAATAAATTTAAAAGGAAAAATATATTAAAAGAATGAGAGTTCAACGAATGTTCTTTATTAACATATGCACATGCATACATATTAGAGGGTAGCAATTTGTGTTTTTCAGCTTGTGTTTTTAAGTGAGGCGAGACAACAACTCAAAATGAAGACACAAACATGGCTCATTTATTAAATGAGTGACATGACAAGGGTCATATTTCTTTAGACTATGTGTTGGATGGGAAGGGCTTTGGTAGGCGTCAGAGGATGTGGAGCATAGGGTGTTTGAGTTAAGTAGATCTTTCAGTATAAATGGTAATACAGGCTAAGGACACTAATCTTCCCTCCTTTACATTGATATGCACCATCACACTCTCAGACACGTTAATTTTCAGCCCCAACATAGCCCCAAATAACTCAATGACCAACCTGCTGAATCTCTCCTTCTTCCCTGAAGTGAAAACATTAGTATCACTAGTGCCCTATTAAGTGAGACACCTAAATACGCTCCTTACCTACTGTAAAACCTCAATCAAGTTACACTCACTAGAACATCCTGTTAATCTACTCAAGACATCAAGAAGCATAAAAAGAAACAGGGCCAATGTGTCTCCCTGCCTCAACCCCCCCGTAGCTCCAAACTCGCTCTGGCTTACCATTTATACTGAAAATTTCACTAGACCCAAACACCCTTTGCTCCACATCCTCCTATGCCTATCAAAGCCCTTCCTATCCAACACATGGTCTATAAGCCTTCAATCAAATGATCACGAAAGAATATATATAATCAGAATGTTTTTCTAGCCGCTGATTAAAATAAAGAGTGTAAGGAGATTAGGAGAGTAGGAGAGAACATCCCACCTTCAGTTGCAAGAGCAAAAACACAAACTAGAATTCATCATCTGGCACAAATCCCCTTTGCAGCATTTCATCATGGAACCGAAATGCCTCCCTCAAATTGTCCTGGGTCACATGTCCATTTATCAATGACGTATAAGTGTCTCTATCAGGTTTTACACCTCTCTCAATCATCTTCCGCAATACTAGCTCAGCTTCGTACATTCTACCTTGTCTACAGAACCCATTTAGAATTATATTGTATGTAAACAGATCTGGCAATATTCCTTGGTTTTCCATCTCCTTAACGACAGAAAAAGCTTTGTCCAGATTCTCTTCTTTTACATATCCATTAATCAGAGTGTTGTAAGTAATACTATCAGGAACGATTCCTTTTGAAACCATTTTGCCTAAGAATTCATCTGCCTTTGTTGTGTTGCCAGAGCGGCAATAGCCTTTAATGACAGTGTTACAAGTAACTAGAGTCGGTTTGATACCTTCTTCAATCATCTGGTCCCACAACCTAAACGCCTCATGCACATGTCCCGTGCTACAAAATCCATTGATTAGAATGCCATATGAAATGTGATTGGGTAATATCCTTCTAGAAACCATGTCAGCCCATAACTCCTTAGCTTTATCCATTTCACCTACTTTGCAGAAACCATCGATTAATGTGTTGTATGTGACAATGTCAGGCTTGATATTTCTTTTAGTCATCGCCTCAAACAGATTTAGGGATTTAGTCATATTCCCGTGCTTAGAATATCCATGAATGAGTGTTGTGAACGTATAAAAATCAGGAAAAACACCCCTTTCCACCATCTCGTTGAAGAGCTCATCTGCATCAGAAAGCATCTTCTCCCGACAAAGCCCATTTAAAATAGTATTGAACGTGACCACATCCATAATGCAACCTTGCTCAAGCATTTCATCCCGCAACTTCAAAGCTTCTAACATCATTCCATTTCTGCAATATCCATGTATAAGGATAGTATAGATCACATTATCTGGAACCCAGCCTGCCTTTTTCATATCTCGAAAATATACTAAAGCATGATCAATATGTCCATTCCTCGAAAAAACCCCAATAAGTGAACTGAAGCTAACTAAATCAGGAATAACACCTCTACATGACATTTCATTGAAAATTCCCTCAGCCTCTGAAATATCATCTTTTCTACAGCTCTCAACAAGCAACGTATTATATGTAGTAGTGTCAGGACTCAATCCATTGTTCAACATCTCACACAAAATTTCCTTCGCTCTTGCATAATTTCCTACTTTACATAAACCATTTATGATAGCATTGTACGTGAAAACCTCAGGTCTCAACCCTTTACAAGACATAGAGTTCTTTAACTGAAAAGCTTCTTCTAAAAGCCCTTCCCGACAATATGCATTGATTAGTGTATTATATGTCACAATATCTGAAAAAATCCCTTTCTCTTCCATGTCTGATAAGAACGATTTAACACTATCAATTTTGCGATCTTTACATAAGGCATTAACCATAATATTGAGTGTATAAACATTTAACTGAATCCCACTGCTAACAACTTCCCCATATACCTGCCATGCCAAATCAACCCACCCAACCTTCACAAGCCCACCAAGAAGACTATTACAAGCATTTATCGAAACACAAAATCCCTTGCTTCTAAACAGCTGAAACACCTCGAACCCTTCTCTCAACTTCCTAGCCTGCACATAAGTTCTGACCAACAAATCAAAGACCAAAGAACTTGAGCCGCAATTGCTATAAGTTGAAACCAAAGAGTCAACTACTTCAACACGCGAAACACCACTCTTCCTAACCATTCTAAGAATCAAAGCTTGTGCATCCGACACCCTTCGACCCCGCACCAACAAGTGAATCATTGCACTCAAAGACTGCGACGAATGCTTAAAATTCGGACTATTTAACACAATTAAATCAATAAATTTCAGACCCAGTTGCAAATTTTCGCGGCACCGATTAAGAACCTCAACAACAAGCAATGGGTTTAATCGAAACAGATAACTGCGCAAAGAATTGAGATTACCTTGCTTCAGACCCAGTAAAATCTTCTCCACCAAAAGAGAATCTGACAGAGAAGCTGATGAAAACGGTTCTTGGCTTGTAGCAGTACTGCATACTTCTCGGAATTGCATACGTTGAAGACCAATTTCCCTGTCATTTGATGGGCAATAAGCTAAAGAATGAGGTCTATGAGAGTGAAAGAGTGAGTGTTGTGTTAGTTTTTTCCTTGTGAAGGTTGTGAAGTTTCTCGGAGTTGGATTTTGAACGAGTAGCCGATGGGTTCGCATACTTGAAAGTATAATTATAGCCGTTGAGGACTGAGTTTTCAAAAGGATGTGGAGTATGGATGCAGAATTGTTAATGCTTCTCAAGAAAAATACATGAAGAAATATCTAAGGATTGATATTTAACAGTTCACGTAGAACACACACGGTGGGGTTGTTTTTTTTTTTTTTTTTTTTTTTTTTTTTTTTTTGTGAATCAACCAGGGAGCCGGCGCTGGTCGGGTTGATCCAGTTTGAGACTAGGGCTGGGTAAATGCACCGAAAACCCGGCCGAACCGAACGGTTTTGGTCTTTAGATTTTTTATTTTATTTTATTAAAAAACCAAATCAAACCGGTTTAGTTTAATTTGGAGCTGGTTTAATTTTATAGATTCAATTGCAACCAAACCAAACCACTCAGCCTCTCGAGTTCATCTCTCTCTCTCTCTCTCTCTCTCTCTCTCTCATCATCAATGAATTAGTGGATCAATTCAAAGCTCCACTCGTCATCAGAGCCTTGCCTTGCCACTTCTCTTCTCTTGGTTGGATGTCATTAAAATGAACTAACCCAACCCAACAGTTGGTGAACTGACCTTGTGAGTTAGAACCTTAGTTGGTTTTGCTTTCAATCTGGAATTTTGCGCAATCGATTTGGACGGTTCAGTAGTCGATTGAGCCCACAACCAAACTAACCCAAATCATGCCCACCCCTAATGGAGACTAAACCCTAATCCCATTTGAATTTAGGTTGGCTTTGTCGGTCTGCAAGTTCAGTAGGTTGGGGCTGAGCGCCAAGTTTGCTTTGTGGATCTTGTTTCTTTTAAATACTTTCTTTTTTAGTTTATTTATTTATTTATAAACTCTATAAGTTTAATTTTTGTATATGGCATGTAAACTTACTTGGAATGAGAGAAGCTATGAATTGGGAAAGTAAAAAATAAGGAAGAGAATGAATGAGAATGAGATTAACTACTCCCTTCTAAATAAAAGAATTACTAGCTTTTTTAGGTAATTTTATTTATTTATTTAGAAAAGAGCAATAGTATTTATTGAAGAAAGATAAGTAACGAGTACAAAAACCGGGCTATGTCCTCAGGGATTAGGCTAGTGTCTCTACTCCAATAGGCTTAGACGTTGGGTTAACAAGTTAGTCGTACCTGCTCAACCGCAAGAGGAAGCAGGAGTCTTACCTCAGGTAGAGTGCCCCTCATTCCCCTCAGATCATGCCTGAAAAAACTACTAGTTACAATCTTCAAATAAAATATTCACAATAAAATCCGGAGGTTCTTCAAACCAACTAACAAAAGTACCAATATGAGCTGCTAATTTGGCAATACAATGAGCCACATCATTAGCGTTTCGGCATATATGGGTAAAACCTTCTCTAGTGATCTGAGTCAACAAGGTCTTGGTATCATCCACTATCGAGCCCAGGAAGGATCGATCCGTGGATTGCATCTGAAGGGTTGACACAATTTGAAGAGCATCACTCTCAAAAGAAACATTCATAAAACCCCTTTTAACAGTCAATGAAATGACTAAATAGGCAGCTAAGGCTTCAACATGAGCCGCATAAAAAATATTGTCCACCACCATGGTGCACCCTGCCACCAAGTTACTTTCGGATTCAGAATTACATACAATAATGCCCAACCTACCCAAGGTGCTGCCGGTGTGCCAAGCGCCATCAATGTTAACCTTTAGATGCCCCTCCTTTGGTCTCTCCTATTTCACTCCTCCAATAGGCTGCTGAACAGACTTTGGGGCTCTTGTATTGACTTTTAGGAAATCTTGGAGGCGGGTGACAGCATTGATGTAAACTTGTTCAGGTCTTGATTGTTTAGCCTCCCAAACCAGGGCATTCTTAACCTCCCAAATAGCCCAACCTAACATTAGAAAGGTGGCAAAGTCAGCAGGAGAGAGGAGATAACGGTGGCTGTGAACCCACTCCTTGGCCAACTCACTATGATAAACTTTATTGTAGTTAAAGGAAGATAAGCAATGCCAAACACCTTCAGCAAAAATGCAGTCACATAGTAGGTGTACAGTCGATTCACAACCATCTACACAGAAAACACATGTGGGATCCAATGAGACTTGTTTCTTGGAAATGTTATGTTTCCTGAGTTGAGCACACGTTCCATTAGAATATTTTGATTTTAGGGGGACCCCAACTTTCCAAAGAGCTAGCCAAAGAGAAGACAACGCCACTGAAGTCGACGAGGATGAAGTGTTGGGAGTGACAAGGTTTCGGGCCATATGATAGGTGCTCTTAACCGTAAACTCACCTCTTTTTTATTTATTTATTATTATTATTTTATCATAGTGCCACATTAATTTATCAGGAGCACGTGCCAGCTTAAGGGGATGGAACAGATTAACTCTACCTCATCAGGAAGAAAACATGCGTAAAAGCTTGAGGACATCCCATTCACGTCGATGTGCCAAGAATAAATCAACAACCATCATGCCCCTGGAGGTAGCAGGCTGCGGCAAGTAAAGCATGAAGCTGGACAGTCGGGGCAACCATCGATCCTCCTAAATAAGAGTGAAGGTGTCGTTGCCAATTTGCCAGCAAAAGCCACCATTGATAAAAGTCCTGGCTACACACACACCTTTCCAAACATGAGAGGCATTAGAAGGTACATCAACCTCTAAAAAAAGAGGTATTCGAGAAGTACTTAGCCTTAAAAACTCGAGCTGGAAGCGAATCAGGGTTCTGCAAGAGGCACAAACCCTATTTGGCTAATAAGGATAAATTAAAGGCATACATGTTATGAAAGCCAAGCCCATCTTCATCCTTGGGGAGAAAGGACACGCATAACAAGAAGGATATGGGGAGAGAGGACCGCCCTGACAAAGACCTCGAGAGGGGTGGAGATAACCAATGGCTTCACCATTAATCACAAAGAAATAGCTAATTGTTGATACACACATGAGCGCACGTTGAATCCATATTTCATTGAAGCCTCATTTGCGCATGATGTTCTCCAAGAAACCTCATTCTATGCTATTGTAGGCCTTACTCAAGTCAAGTTTTAAGGCGAGAAAACCATTGTGACCACATCGTTGCTGTCGAAGAAAATGAACAATTTCATATGCCAACATAGAATTGTCAAAAATTAAACGTTCAGCCACAAAAGGATGGAGAGATGATATTGGGTAGAATAGTCTTCAACATGTTGGCCAAAACTTTAGTGATAATCTTAAATATCACGTTACAAAGACTAATAAGGAGATGATGAGACATTTCCTTGAGGTCCTTCACTTTAGGGATGAAAACTACATGTGTGAAATTAGTCTTCCAAAGTAAATGACTAAACATAAAGAAATCTTTTATGGCCATAGAGACATACGAGCCTACAATTTGCCAAAATTATTGAAAAAAGAGAGAGGATATTCCATCTGGGCTAGGGCCTTAGTAGGATTCATTTGAAAGACCACATCTTTAATGTCCTTTTCTGAGATGTCAACCATGAGTGAGTTATTCATGTCGTGTGCAACTTTTGGTTGGACAGCGTTGTATGTCTTGGAAATTGTGGGTGTAACCTGATGTAAAAAGCTGGTTAAAAAAATCACTTTGCATGCCTGGTCTATCTTCCATCCACCAGCCCCTACCATAAAAAAGACCCAGTATTTTGTTCCATTGTTAGCGATTAGTTGCATATTGATGAAAGAACTTTGTATGCTGGTCACCTTCTTTTAACCATGCTATCCGAGATCTTTACTGCCAGAACGCATTCTCACGAAAAATAAAGGTATCAAGTTGCTTTGTAAGCATTTGATGAGTTTATGTAATCGAGCTATCACAAGAATTACTCCATAGTTTTGTAAGTTGGCTTCTGACTTTCTGAATATCTCATTTTGTTCCCTGGAAAACGTCTCAGTGCCATTGTAGCAGATGAACTTGTGTAGCTTTGAAGTGAATTTTAAGGGGAGCAGAGCTCGTCTATGGACCAAGAGTTAATGGGCACATGGTCAGACCGACATAGGTCAAGATGTTGCATTTTGACCACCAAAAATAGGGCATGCCAAGGTTGGTTGCTAAGAACCAGTCCAGTCACTCCTTGATGCCTCAATTTCTTATACTGAACTTAGTGAAAGGTGGCCCATCAAAGCCTAAATCATTCAGCCCACAATCGGCCACCACCTCTTGGAAGGCAAGGATTTGTCGAATGGGTCAAACAACACCGCCTTCTTTCTCCTCGCTATGTAGTAACTCATTAAAATTTCTAAAACAAACCCATGGCATTTTGGTATCACTGACCAATGATCGAAGAATGCTCTATGATAGATGCCTCTCATCAGTCACATGATGGCCATAAAATCCTGTCAACCTCCAATGAAATTGATCACCCGAATCGCCCACCTTAGAGTCAATACAATGGGATGAGAATGATCGTGTATGTGGAGGTCTAACTCAACTTTCCAAAGCAAGAAGAGACCCTTGTCCTGCCAACAAGATTAATAACAAAAAAATCATTAAAACCCAACTGAATCTTAAGAAAATTCATTCGAATATGATTGCACCGTGTTTTAGAAAGAAAACGGGCACTAGGATCTTGTGAATTGACCAAATGATGCAAGGACTGAACTGCCCCAGGTTTCCCAAGCTTTTGGCAATTCCAGCAGAGGATAATCATTATTGTCAACAGGACCAAGCCAAATTAGTCGCTACAGTTATGAGGGAAGTCCTGTCATTTACAATGCACACTGGCTTGTTGTCTGTGTGTGTAGCATAGAAAAAGGACACTTGGGTGCGTCGTTTACATATATCTGACAGGGAGCAAGCTAGAGAACCATGTTAAGCTCATGAGGTAAGATGGTATTTAAACGAGCCCCGTTTTATTTCTTTTTGCATAGGACGTGCCCTAGGTTTAGATGTCTGCCGAATGAACGAGCCAAGATTGAAAGGGTCAGAGCCCATAGATGGGGTACTGACCCCTTTCTTGAAAATCCAGTTCGTCATACTCGAGTGCAAAAGCCCAGGTCCCTATGAGGGCCTAATTCCATGCTGACCCATAGGTTGAGTGGTCATGTGGGCTGAAGGGTGCGAGGCACGTGAGTCAACCTGATGCCTATTTGTCACTATAGTGGGATTCCCTTGATTGTCACTGCCAGTAAAGTGAAATTTGTTGGCATAACGTCTCAAGGAATGAATTAATGAGGGTCCACAGTTAGCGGGCTTAAAGATGGGGATAGGATAGAGGGTATCATTCGGACAAATAAGGGAAGTCAATGCGCCATCCTAAAAAGGAATGAGTGATAATTCTCTCAGGGAATCCACCTCACTAGGGTCAAATTGTACATTGTACATTGCCCTAGATTGCTTGATCCCTTGCAGGTTTTGATTTCCTTCCATATAATGTGAATAATTAATGTCTGATCGAGGCATCGCCGCTGCTGTCGGACAGTCATTCTCCGCCTCTAACTCCGAGAGAGGGTTGTCTTTAGGAGCATGCATAGACCATCCTAAGGAGTTGGGGAACCCAAAATGTGGACCCTTCGGGCAACGACAGTCTGGTCCAAACATATCAAGTTGGAACCACCTCCTATAGGGTTTGGAGAGGTCATCCATACCTTCTTCTCTAGGTAGATTATAGGAAATTTCAGTATGGCCAATGGTCCCGCAACGAAAACATGTGGTAGGCAACGTTTCGTATAAAATATAAACCTTTCGTAAATAACTCCCAAGTCACTCCATCGTTTTACTTTGGTTTATCACCACATTGCCGCCCAGTGCATTGCCAAAATATTTCCCATCCTTCTTGTCATGTATGCTAGCGGAAGACCCCTAACTTGAACCCAAAAAGCCTACGACGATAGTGGGATATGCTTGGGGTTTGTAGTACCATCAGCCTCTGCCATCACTAGAAGATATCCCTTGAATAGCCATGGCCCGCCTCGGATAATTGTTTCCCTCTCCTCATTAGAGTTGAAGGTGCAAGAGATTCTGTCTTTCCTAATATCAACTATAGTGACAACCGCCTTTGGCCACCACATAGAGATTCTGTTTTACCGCCCGTAACTCGTGTTGAGTCTACAATAATCTCCTTATGTTCTACTTCAGTTAAGGCAAATCGGGATGAGAAAATCGGTCATCATGGTCTCCATACTATCGCAAATCGACCTGGCTAAAACCCTTCCTTCCTCAATCCAGAAAACAATTCCGTCAACTTGCATTTGCCAGTCAGGCCACTGCATCCAATTAGTCGTCGTAGTAATCTCGAGTCTTGACATAGCAAGACCCACTCTCCTAGAGGACGCTAGAGAGTGATCAGTGCATAATTTCATATCATTTTGTAAACTTCTAGTTTATGATTTCGTTATGTTTTTTAGTTAAACTTGTGCTTTTAATCTCTTTTATGTTTGTTTCAATGTATTAAGATTTATGACTCATTTAATGCATTTTGAAGTCAAGTTAGCTCAAAACTATGTCTGTAGATCAGTCAACTTCACATATTAGACTGTACGTGCCCAGGAAGAACCAGCTAATGAGCCATACACCATTGGAAATATGTGGGAGTCTAGTTTTTGGAGCATTTTACGGTTCATGATTCTAAGTCTTCTAGAAGAAGTTATGAAAGTTTTGACAACTTAAGGTCAAATTCGGCAGCATATGTGTTACTGTGCCAAAATAATATTTGAAGGCTTTTCCGATTTTTCCTTGAGTTGAGCTTTATATGGATGGAAAGATAAGACAAAGAGATTGAAGGTCCATATTTTTCCAGAATTTATTGAGAAGAGGAATGAGATCAAAATCGGCTTACAAGAAGACTGCAGTGCATTGTCATGCATGACATATGCACGAGCTAATAAGTTTTCAAGTTTGATTAGTTTCCAAGTTTCAATTTCGGTTCTTGTTCTTACTCATTATGCTTATAAGTTACTATGCTTGTTTGAATGATTGAACACCATTAAAACTTGTATGTTAGCTATCTTGGTTGAAATTAAGAATAGACACCATATGCCTTAATTCGAATTAAACTATGAATAGAAATAGTATGTATGGACATTCGACAACAAGGATTAGATACATGCTTAGTTGTTTAAAGCATTCTTCTATACTTAGTAGATTTCTAATGCTTAATTTAGGTTCGATAACAAATGATCTAATTAGGGAATTAGGAATATAAGGTTAAGATCAGACACCATGGCTTAATCATAATTTAGCTAGAATCAATCCACGAATTTGAATTGAACTTGTTAACTGATTTGCTTGAGTTAGTTCTTTTCTTTCTTTCTTGTTTTATGTTCTTTTCTTTCTTATTTTTTGTTTTGTGCAGGGAATCAAATTGAATCAATATATCATCAATCCTCATGGGATCGACCTTGTACTTACATATGCTATACTACCGAACGGCTCATGCACTTGCGAGTATCACAAGTTGAGGATGCAGTTGAATTAATTTTTGCGCAGCTGAATTCGACGACAACATAGAGTGCTAGAGAGAATTTTTGCGAGTAGAATAGCTTAGATTTAATATGGATTGTTAGATATTTTTTTACCGTTAAAATAGCTTGGATTCAATATGGATCGTTGGATTTGGGTTATTGTTGGAATAAAAAAAATTTAAAAAAAGAGACGACATTAGCACCCCACACCTGGCACACGACACCTTCTGCAGCAACGCGGCGCTTGGCGCTCATTGATTCCTCCTTGCACATGGGCTGCGTCAACCTTGAGTGGACTCCACCAAAAAGTTTTTCAATCCATGTAGACAATAGCTAGACTGGTATTCGGCCCTAAGTTTGGGTCCCAAATTTTGGCCCCTTACTTTTCTTGAGTTGGGTTTGGCCTCATGGGTTGGACGGAGATGACCTTAGAGTCTCTAATTTAGAGTAGTTTAGACATCAAAAGATAAAAATAGAAAATTTAGGGAAGTTGACGAACTAATTCCCCAATTTCAAGAAGAAAAAAAGAAGGAAAAGCCAAGGGGAAGCCAATACGATGCTGCTGGGTGACTCGACATTTATTAGAGCCTTCATTTCATATTCGCATTCATGAAAACTGCAAACTTGGGCAGTGTAAGTGGTCGTACCAAAGAAGTTGTATATCCATTATTCTCAAAAGCTTTGTCTTCTGCTAAAACCCGGACAGAAGCACAGAAAGTCCATTCGTTGATTGTCACTCTTGGATTGCACCATTGCGTCTTCTTCTCTGGCAAACTCATAAGCAAGTATGCCCAACTCAGAGACCCAATTGCGTCCCTCTCAGTTTTCCACCAAGCTTTTCCCAAAACCAATCCCTATCTATGGAATTCAATCATTAGAGCGCTTATCCATAATGGGTTTTACTCAAAAGCTCTTGGCCACTACACTAAAATGCAGAAAATGAATGTTCAACCTGATAGGTATACATTTCCTTCTGTGATCAATGCCTGTGCTGGGTTGTGTGACCTGGAAACGGGTATGATTGTTCATCAGCGTATTTCAGAAATGGGTTTTGGCTCAGACTTGTATATTGGTAATGCACTGATTGATATGTACGCTAGATTTGGTGAACTCGGTAAAGCACGGCGGCTGTTTGAGGAAATGCCTCTTAGGGATATCGTCTCGTGGAATAGTCTGATTTCTGGCTACAGTTCAAATGGATATTGGGAGGAAGCTTTGGAAATTTTTCATAGGTTAAGAATGGATGGGTTGTTACCGGATTCTTTTTCCATATCTGGTGTCTTGCCTGCGTGTGGAAGCTTGGTTGATGTTAGAGAGGGTCAGATAGTTCATGCGTTGGTTGAGAAGATCGGGGTCCATGCTGATGTTTTAGTAAGCAATGGACTTCTTTCAATGTACTTCAAATTTGGTTGGTTAAAAGATGCGCAACTTTTTTTTAAGAGGACGGTGGTTAGGGACCCTGTTGGTTGGAACACTGTCATTTGTGGGTACTCTCGGTTGGGGTTGTTTGAAGAATCAATAAATTTGTTTATGGAAATGGTAAATGAATTTACACCTGACTTGCTGACAATCACTTCTGTTCTTCGTGCTTGTGCTCATTTACGTGACTTGGGACGTGCAAGATATGTTCACGACTACATGAAAAGAAGTGCTTTTTCATTTGATACTGTGGCAAATAACATACTTATTGATATGTATGCAAAATGTGGAAATTTATTAGCTTCACAGGAAGTATTTGATCATATGGAATGCCGGGATTCTGTGTCATGGAATTCCTTGATCAATGGCTACTTTCTTAATGGTTGTTGTGCTCAAGGGTTAAACCTTTTTAAGGTGATGAAGAGTAACATGATACCGGACTCTGTGAGTTACGTGATGATCCTATCTAGTTCTACCCAGCTAGCGGATGTGGAAAAGGGGAAAATGATCCACTGTGATATAGTAAAACTGGGATTCGATTCTGATGTTATTGTCAACAATGCACTTGCCGATATGTATGCTAAATGTGGCAAAATACAGGATTCACTAATAATATTTGAGAACATGAAAGTTCGTGATGTAGTAACATGGAATACCATAATTTCTGCATGCATTCATTATGATGATCGTATTTTAGGGTTAAGGATGATCCTCAGAATGAGGAATGAGGGAGTGATGCCTGATGCGGCCACCATGTTAGGCATCTTGCCCCTGTGTTCCTTACTTGCTGCGAAGCAACAAGGAAAAGAGATCCATGGATGCATTTTCAGGTTAGGATTTCATTCAGATGTTCCAGTTGGGAATGCACTAATAGAAATGTATTCTAGCTGTGGTAGCTTGGAAAACTCCGTACTAGTATTTGAGCATATGAAAAAGAAGGATGTCGTGACATACACTTCGATGATCTCTGCATATGGGACATATGGTGAAGGTGTGAGAGCATTGAGAACTTTTGCAGAAATGGAAGCAACAAGCGTCCTTCCTGATCATCTTGCTTTCCTTGCTGTTATATTTGCTTGTAGCCATTCAGGTTTGGTAGAAGAAGGCCTGGCTTACTTCAACCGGATGAGGAACGACTACAAAATTGAACCAAGGATCGAACACTATGCTTGTGTAGTTGACCTCTTGTCGCGGTGTGGCTTATTGGGTCAAGCAGAAGACTTTATCCATTCAATGCCAATGAAGCCAGATGCAAGTATCTGGGGATCTTTACTTAGTGCTTGTCGAGCAAGTGGAGAAGCAAACATAGCTGCACGTGCCTCAGACCAGATAATTCAATTGGATTCTTATGATACTGGGTATCATGTTTTGGTATCAAATGTGTATGCAGCTTCAGGGAAGTGGGATCAAGTGAGAATAATACGGAAATACATGCAAGCTAAAGGACTCTCAAAAGATCCTGGATTTAGCTGGATGGAAATTCAAAAGAGGGGTTGAGGCTAGTTCCTCTTGACATTATATACAGGTTAAAAAGGTACTTGTGGGTTTGTTGGGAAAGGAAGGTTATGATGATTTGCAATTTATCCCACTATGACTTCGGATTTGCATGAGAAGAAAGACATGATTTATTAGAAAAGGGTACTGCTTGCAATGGCAGGTAATGACTGATGAATATTAACATTGTGGTTATGATGATTTGAAGCAGTTTGTTATCTATTCCAACCTTTCTCCAAAAAGAATGAGATTTTTATTAATGTTCATTAACTTTCATGGTATTTTGTTGAATGCTGTATAAGCTTAGGTTCATGAGTTATACTTCTATATTAATAAAGCCTGATATACTTGTTTCTCTCTTGTCTAATTGACTTGACATCATTTAGTTTGTTTTTTGTTTCATCATCTGTTATAGGTCTAATCTTTGAAGGAGAGGGATTTGAAGTTAGAGCTGACCTTGGAGATATATCATGAGTTCACTGATCCAAGGTTAGAGTGTCTAACAACATAAAGTTTAGTCTTTGCAAGAGATTCTCCTGTTTAGTTTTTAAATTTGTTTATGTATAGCTTTTGTTTGATATACTTAACAAAATATTAATTTGAAACTCCTGAAGTCTAACTAATAACCAATTTTGAAGACTATGAGTTCTCGTTCTTTAATTTCCTGATGCTTTGTTGAAAAAATAAATAAAAAATCTTGGCTTTGTGTATGATTACAGATTAAAATTTTAAGTTGCAAGATTTGATGTTCTTTGTTGACGTGTTACACAATTCGTTTGGCTATACTTCTGCAAATTGTTATGCAAATGATCACAATTTGCTGATGCAAATTTGCAAATTCAGCTCGTTTACTTGTCAAATGTGGGTCTGATTGCACAGAAAACGTGGATGTGGCTCAGATAATGTGAAGTTTATATATTTGAAGAGGATGTGCTAAAAGGTAGAGACTTGTAATAGAAGGCATGGACTTGTGTTGAAGTTTGGAAGTCCTTTGGTGACAAGCACCGATTGGAATTACAAGTTGAGACAAGGAAACCAGCTCCACATCTCTCTCTAGAGGCTAACTACTACAGAAGCTGAGATTGCAGACAGATGTTGAAAGGTCCTAAATGTTAAACTTCGGTGATGTTTGTCAAAATTCCCTTGTTAACTCACAGCCACGGTTCAACACAGTTTAGTATTTTGAAGTTTTCAGCCTTTAGATCAATTGAATGGCCAAGATTTTACTGTTGTGGATTCTAATGTTCCCAGATATCTGGCAACCGAATACAACTATATATGTAAGTGTAACACCATTGGCATTAGATCTTCGATTGGAGTAACAGATAAGAGATGGCAAGCAATAGGGCCAATGCTCTATGTTAGAAGTCAGTTAACCTATCAAAGATCACAAAAAGTTGAGATACGTTTCTCTATGTCAAACTTTTCCATTTCGTTTTATAGCTCATAAAGATCAGAAAAAGTTGAAGCTTCACAATTTCGTAAACAGTCTCTTTGTAAACCCTACCGATTTATTGAGTAGAATTGCTCACAGTTCACTACATAAAACTTTGAACACAGCTGCCAAAACCAACATTACAAAATCCTGCTAGACAGATTCTCAAACACCAATATACATTTTGTTTCCACGGGAAGCAACATGAAACTTCTTCCAAAAGACTACAAGGGTGTCAACTCATATCTCCAAACAGGGTAGTAAGGGCAGTAATATGAGCCTATCTGTGCAACGCATCGGCATGAGAACAAGAAGCATGTTCATTTTTGCAGGACTGGAAAAGCTCTACACCCCTTTCTCTTCCATGATAAATAATGAGTATGTTTAAGCCCAGAAACCAGCATCCATGACTAGAATCAAGGTGAGCCAGACACGCCAGGGAAGAGTTCTGATATTTTATTGAAAACATCCATAACCTGAGACAATGGAACACAAGATTATGCCATAAATTAATACGCAATACAATTATATTGTGTGATGGCTAACCCTTAGCCCATCAGGAAATAGAAAACTGAAATCAATGCTACATCCCAGCCCAGTAAAACTACATAATGCCCTCTAAAGTACATTCAAGCATCAAGTAACTTAAAGGCATGTTGCATGTAAACCATTCTCAACGACCCTCAACAAAAACTATTAAGAAGCAATACTACACTTGATCTAGGCCAAAAGTAACAACCGACTGTAAAAATAATAATATACAGTTCCACATCAGCTGTTAGGAAACAAAATCAATTTTTTACCCTAAACAAAAATAAAGCGAATGTCCAGAACACTAATGTTCCCAACCCCTAGTGAAACTTACTTTGGTGGGTTTTGCTAATTTTTTCTATACCGAAATAAAGTTACTGCAATATTGCCTATGGATTTGGATCTCACAAGTTAACCAATAGTGTAAGCTCTTATGATGTCTAATGGAAGGAATGTTGGTTCCTTGATAGATCTAATAACAAAATCTTAAAGTACTTCGACGAGTTATCCAAAAGCTCTTAAATACATTCCTGCTTTTGATAAGATAGATATATCTAGTTGAAGTCATGTGGAAGAAGCGAGAATACAACTCAAAACTATACAAGAAAGTAGTAGCCATCTTTAACAGGCTAAATAATTTATCGATATCTCATGCTAACTTAGAAACAGATATGAATTATAATGTGAAAACAATCATTTTGAAGAAAGAATAGACACGAGAACAGAAAATACTCAATAATAATCATATAATGATTTATCAATAGGATACATTTTATTTAGAAAAGGTAATAAATAAATACAACTAAAAAACACGTATGTAGGCGAATCAGAAATGATGGTTGATGTCAAAAGAGTTCTACCATACCTCCTTATCATTTTGATATTTGGCAATGCTGAGCGGGTTCTGTGAACACTGCAACAGAAACATAATAACATTAGAGAATTGGTATGGTGTGCCATCCTATTTTTCCACCCCCACCAATTTTTAAAATTATTAATTTACGCTTTCCACCCCACATTATTCCCATAATATTTTTTGTTAACTTTGGATGGCGGCAGCCATGGCCACCACCATTGATGGTGGCACCCACTGCCTTCCCTCTGCAGGGTGCAGCATTTGCAACACCCCATAGTTACTGGTTAGGCCCCATAATGGGAGGCCAGTCCAACCAACCTTCCGAAAAGGGAGGCCATTTGGAGGTGAGACCAGTCCTACCATTTCCTTTTTTTTCTTTTGCAACTCTTTTTTGTGTTTCTAAGCATCATTCTTCAACGTAATTTTGCACAAGGATAAAGTGAGTGGGTAAACAGCAATGTGGGGTGTTCTAAATTAAATCCAAGTACTCTGGCAATACATACATCCATGATGGCTGCTTGAACTCTTGGGTTTTGAAATGCCATAGCAACTTCAGGATTGGCCATTATTTTTGAAATGACTTCCTCAGGTGTAAGCCCAATTTGGTCTGCAAAATATAAAGACAACAATTAAAGAATACACATAACAAAACTTTATATATACTCCTCAAATCAAATACACTCTAGAAATTCCCACCGGTGATTAATTAATCCCAAGCCTTCTTACACGAAGCCTAACCTCAGTTCAACACTATAATCATAAGTCAATCATAGAGCACCAATTTCACAGAGTCCATCTTATGCCAGTCTAGGCGTCAGACTACTATCTTCAAATTTCTTCAATGGGATTTTTTTTTATTTTTGGTGAAGAGTGAAATCCTTATGAAGTTGATTAATATGATAGCTCTTGATAATAGGGCTCTTGGCAGGCAATTTGATATTTTGGATGTTCAGGCATATGCTGTATGCTTTCAAATTTAGAGATGCTTCTCTATGTCAAACTTGTCTGTCTTATGATCAATACTGCAATCCAAAGGCAACAGACATTGAACGTCTCAACCTTCCAAACAAAACCACATACTCAACCACTCAATGTAGATATACCTTCTTTCTTTTTCCTTCTCTTTTTCTTTAAAAAAAATGGTAGGTAAATTTCTTGAATTGGTTTCAACACTCATCTTACTTCTTTCTTGGTGGCCCAGCTTTATACCCAAATCCACCACACTTTGGGAGGAAAATACATACTTTATGTTTTTTTTTTTTTTTTTTTTTTTTTTTTTTTTTTTTTTACTTTAATGTTAAATGAGAAAGAAGCTGTTTTAAAATCCAACATAAACTTACCAAACTGCTGCTTAACCTCAGGACTGCTAAGATCAAAATTTTTCAATGAATCCATCATACGATTGTCCCATTCATTGCTTCCACCCATATTATTTCTGAAACAACAGTCAAGCATAAAAAAGAAAAAATAAATTAAATTGGAGAAAGAGTAACATATCTTGTATAGCAAAAGCATCACAGTGATGCAGCCTATCTGGTAACAAACCTCACATTCCCAAAAATTTAATAGAAAATGCAGCCTAGTAGAACACAACAGAAATCAAAACAAAATGTTTCATTGTCCTCAAAATTTAGTGGACAGTGTCAGAGGCATATTGTTGAAGAATGGATTCCAAATATCCCTACAGAAACACACAAAAGATACTGAGCGCATTCACCTACCAGGGTCCAACATTTAGATGAACAGTACATCCTACCAAAATGCATGTATTCAAGTAAAGTAAATGTAATCCTGTGTATATGTAACGGTCAAGAACTCAAGTATATTAACCTTTGTAGTTCACAAATTTAAAATAGACACTGAAAGATACAATGACAAATATAACATGGCTCTTACAAGCATGTTTGTTTACATGTACATGCAAGAGATGAAAAATTCACAACATGGTCAAAGTTTTATGTTGCACCATGGTCAAATTGTTACAGGAAATGCCGACTTGATACATTCTCTGCTTCATGAGTACTTAAAGTATTACTGGACGCAAGACTCAAAGGTCAGTTATAAAGCACAGGCAATGCAAGTGCACGGAGATCCCACCCTTTCCTATTTCCCACATATATAAAGGATCCAAAGCTTTAAATTGCTTCAATTAAAATTCATATGTATGACTTTATTTCAGGTACGTGAATGCATTCCATACAGAAATCGCAACTGTAGCAGATGGGACACTTTTGGTCCTTTTTTTTTAAAATTTATTTTTATGATAGGAAATTTAATCCACCTTGAATATTGCAGGGATTTGGTTGAGAAAGTTAAAAATGAGAACAAAATAAAAAACTGGTTCAAACTTCTGAGACCAAAAATATAGTTCCGCCACATCAAGGTAGAAACCACAAAATGCTCAGAATATAAATACAAGAAGTTAGAACAAAAAGCTCCTAGCAATATCAAATGTAAATAAAGCAACAAAAAAAACTTACAGCATGTCTTCCAGCTGTTGGCGATATTGTGGATTTTGTAGCATCCCTATCAAATGATGTGCACAATAATCAGATTAATGATCAAAAGCAACAGGTTAGGAGAAACAAAATGAACTCTAGGCCTACAAAAAAGAAATGCAATGGTGGAAACACACCCCCATAAAGAAAGAACACATGATTCATTCAACAAAATTCCGAGTATTGAAAAAGAAAGAAAAGGTTCTAGGTACATATGAAAAGGGACCAGATATTTATGCAGTGACATTCACAATGACAAGGGACAACATATAGCCAAGAAGGCACATAGACATTGCTTCAAGCAGGCAAACTTGATGAGCGCTATTTTGCTTGATACCTTAAAACTGATTTCTAACCAGGTACAAACAAATGAATTATCGAAATGCAGGCGATATGCATTAGTATGAGCCATATCAAGGCTACAACTGACAAACCCAGATTACCTAGAAAAAGCCATGTTACTGATAGATGGACTTACATTTGAAAGTGGAAGGATTCCTCATCTCCTCTGGTAAATAGCTACAAGGATACGAACAGAATTAATCCTCTTTCCAATAGGAAGAAAAACATGTGATTAAGTTCCTCTAAAGGTATGTCAATATGAAGTCTAACTTTCACGAGACAGTGTCAAATCAAAGAAATGTTAAACGGTATTTTCATGATGTAGACAACTGGAAGAGTATTACAATATATGATGTAAACTTACAATATTTTAAGCTAAAAAAGTAACCTTTGATCAACAAAGGAAACACTTGGAGAACATCTTTTATCACAACATAAATATTGCAAGAAATAAATAAAAGGGAGGAATAAGAAATTTGATAATGGAACTAACCAAGGTGAGGGATTTGCCCAAGGACTATGCCCTTCCTACCAAGGTCTAACCTTCTAGTAATAAATGGTTTGCATGAACCAATAGACCAAGAAACTTTCAATTTGAAATAGTTATCCTTGCCCAAATGACTAGACATTATATGACAAGCTTGAAAAATTATTTGGCAAATAAACCAAGATATTGTATGGATCTAACATTTACTCACACAAGATATACAAGTTCATGCTGCATGTGAAGTGTATATGTTGAAAATTTGATGCAACTATTGAGATTTGTTCACCCAATCAAATTGTTGACGACTTTCCAAAATTTACAAAGGTATCAAGTGTCAACAATAATAATTTTGTAGCTAATTTGCTAGATTCAACCATACCAATGTGCCAGAACAAAATCATTTATCACAATTAGAAAGCACAAAAGATAACAAAAGGTATATTACGGATAAACCATCTTCTGCACCGTCGGATCTTCCAACATTTTCTCCAAAGCTTCCACTGATATAGAATTTTCTTTTCCTATCCATTAATAAATGAAAAAAATATATGTAAACTGTCTGATTAGATTCCAAAAATCAAAAACTGAGAAAGAAAGGCAAAGATAGTCATGAACTACAGCATTTTAGTCAAAGCCACTTCAAGCCAGACTGACTAGAATTACAAAGTAATGCAATCAAGGATTGATTCATATCCATTTACGACACAGTTGTGTAACCTTCAGAACTGACAAACTTTGGCCTAATATTGCACAATTGATATGAAGATTTACAGAATATATTGAGTAAAAATTCCATCCAAATGAACGCATGTCTTAGTTCCCTCATCTAAATGCATCTCAGGTAATAAAGAAGAAAAGATAGTCTTAAACAGAACTGGCTGAATTTAAACACAACCAGTTCAACCGTCTTTAGATAAAGACAGTCTTTGTCACAACTACCAAAAAATTGACATTAAATCTAAAAGCAAAGCATGCATCGGAATACTGAGGGACAGCTAAAGTGTCAATTGACTCTTTACTTACCAGTAGATTGGGACCCTGTGGAGGCACCAAACCCCTGCTTAAAAGCAGCTCCGTTCTGAGAAACCTTCATAAAGTTTGCAAAAAGTTAAATCTGAGAATTAACTCCAAACAATCACAGCATGATCAGAAAGACGAATTATAAGATACTCACTTTCACGTCATTCTGGAAATCCTTAGATGAACCTATTTCAGTACCATCTTTTAAGCTACTTTCAAAAGGACTCTTTTGTTCAGTTTCTTCTGGATTAACATCTACAAAAGCTGTGAGTAGAAGATACACTTAGAATCTCAAACAGGAAACTGTCATAAGAAAACATCCAAATCATAGTAGCTTGTCAAAATTAGTAGCAGTCTTGATGGCCATTGTTTCACAAACATACATTATTAAGATATTCACTACAGTAAACGATTAAGATATTCACTACGGTAAAAGATTAAGATATTCATAATATTCCTGTATATATCAATATAAGACAGGTCATATGATCAGCCACCAAAATACAGACGAGGCACACACCCACAATTTCACAAACATGCACGTGTGCAGGCAGACATGAATGCACGCAAGCAGGACGCATACCACAAGCTGGCTGCAACTGCACAGGACACATCTAAGGCTTCTGTTGCAATGCAAGCCCACAATATCATTTCGAAAAAGATTCTGTACGTTCTAACAACATGACAATCACGCATTTAACCTTGATCCTTTGTCAACCATACTTTTTTACATTTATTTAATACCCAGAAATCCCCCAATCTGCATAGCGGATCAAACCCGTGGGAGCAAACCATGGGCCTGACTAATTCCACTAACCCCTTGTTGGTCCATACTTTTTGACATTAAATCATCCACAAACAGCTTGAAATCAGATCAGCTCTGTTTAAAATCAAATGGGGTCCATTTAATACTCCTAGCTGTTTGATCAGCTTGAAATGAAAACAAACATTATGCCACAAATTCATATAAAAATAACCACCTTTTACAAATTACATTGACAAGCCTTAGATTTGCAGCAGAGATATCTATTACATACCCTTTAACTAAAACTTAGGTAAAGGGTAATGCTCCAAGTTATGTAATAGAAAATTAGAAATCTATATAATTTTTCTTTATATAATGGGTTATCAATGTAAATTTTTCTTTATATAATTTACTACACATGAATATAGTCCCCTTATTAATAAGAATCCCTTGTGAGGAGAATCAAAAGGGATCTCATTGTTGGGGCCACCATGCAATGCAATCCAATGATCCAAACCGTGTACTACCAGAACCCCAACAATGAAAAACCATGCCTTTTATGGATGGACCAAGTGTAGTGGTGGGCATAAGCCTTGAGATTACTTGTTTAACAAGTACAGTCATCAAGCAGACATATCTCTTTATAAGGATGATGGTTGGCACATTCACCACCTCTGCCGTCTTCTAGTATTCAACTTGGTTTCATGGTTCTAAATCAACTAGTTAGGTCACAATTTCTTAATAATGATTTCATGTAGTGGTCAAAACAAAAGGTATCACTATTTTCGCACATGATGTCTCAATATAAGATAAAAACCTCAGCATACATGATATTTCAGATTTAGAGAGATCACACAGAACTTCCCTTGTGCTCTTGCAGCCAGCAAGAAATGATACTTTTGAGTACCCACATATATTTCAAACAAAATTTTAAAAGTTCAAGCCATTCTAGAAGTGAATTCACTGTTTTACTTTCATGGCTCTTTTGGCAGCCTAAAATTTTAAATTCTACCTCACAAAAACCAATATATCTGAACTTTGGAAAAGGAATTATATCATGGATTACGAACCCAAGTAAAGGAAAATAATATGTAAAAAAGAAAAAGCATGAAGATATATATATTAAAGGCCATACCAAAGCTGTTCGACTTTTTCTTTGGTTCTGTGTCATTGTTGGCATCAGTGGCAGGGGCGGCTGGTATGGTTGGTGTAGCTGGTGTGGCTTGCGCAGCTTGTGTGACTGATGAGGCTGGTGCTGCTGGTGCTGCTGGTGCTGCATCTACTCTGGTTGCAGATACGTCTACTGTCGAATGTTGAGAAGTAGCTGGAAAAGGTGAGGCAAAAGGCCCTGATGCTGGGGCTGATGGAAATGGAAAAGGTGAACCTGGAGGAAATGCAGCATTGTTGAACTGGCTATCTTGTGTATTCATTTGGCCCATCAAAGTCTTAAATGCTTGTTGCATTGCATATTTCTGAAAGAAGATTAAAAGATAAAGATAGATTAAAAAAGAAAACATATCAAAAGAGTGAGGCTAAATTTTGTGTCTGCCACACAACAAATGAACACTCACGACTCATTTATTATGAGTGACACAAAGTTTTTTTCTTTTTCTGAGAGGGCTATGTTGTCATCCACAAAGTTATTCCATTCCATGTCAAATTTTGTACAATTTCATATCAATTCCATCTGAACTTTCTAACTCATGTCGTGCCAATTCCATGCACTGTCATGTCAACATTTTAACATGCAAAGGACACAAAATGACATCATGTCACAAAGATATCACAGCAGGAACACAATATCTTGTGTCAATTTCTAGCCAATGTGTTGTGGTGTTGGATCATGTTCTCATATCATTTTCAAAATTTCTAACCCTTACGCACCATGCATATTATGTAGATATAAAACACCCCCCACACACATGCATCTCCTTTGTTAATTGTAGTCCTGTTACAAAGCCCTTTCTCAAATTTTGATAGAGCGGGGAGGTAGAAGATTTCAAAGAAAGAGAAGAAAAATGATTTCAGACAGATAGAATGAGACAAACAGAGACAGAGAGACACAGAGATAGGGGAAGAGAGTGTTTAGTGTGATAAAAGTCCATCACTTTATGATGTCAATACGCATATCTAGGGTTCGTCTTCACCACCATTAAACATGTTAAGGGAACTCAACAATAATACCCTAAGCTATTAAAATCCAATAATCCGAACTAAAATAAATCCCTAAATTTTAGGAGGAAAACACGCACCTTTAAGTTTGTAGCCACCTGTCATTACAATCAAAGTGTCAAACACACAGAAAACGTGAACTGGTCGAATAAATGTATATCTTATCAAACAAAGAGACGCAAGTAATCTTGTTCTCACCCAAGAAAACAGTGCTGAAAGCCCAACACCAACGCCAATCCAAAATAGAGGCGACCCTCTAAAAAATAAAATAATAAATAAGTAAAGGTGAAAAGATTATATGTTTATAAAGTACAAGAAGAAAAGAAAAGGCAACAGCAAAAGCTTATTGAATAGATCAATGGGTTATAAATAAATAATTGATAAAATGAACAAAAACAAATTATTACATATTTGAGGGTGGGGGAGGTACTGAGATTGGAGGGTTGACACCAACTGAAGATGTTTCTCGACTACTTGAGGAAGAAATACTTGCAAAACGTTCCACTTCTAACTTCTCTACAACTGTAATACAAACATAAAGCGAAACACCCATGTGAGTAAAACTATATTGAGAAGTTGCACAGCAACGAGATGGAAACACAACATCATAGAATCAGCAAGATACATTAAAACTTGTGATGGAAAAATAAAGAATATCCTTAAGATCTAGCTCTTTTTTTTTCGTCAAGAGCTAGCACCATAGATACTCAAGGTAGGACATTCTTGGCAGTGTTTTTAGAAGGACTAAAAGCGCTTTTGACAGCTTTTGGTAAAAACAGTTAAACATTCTTCCGGTTTATAAAAGCATTTTTGTAGCTCTTTCTTTCAGAAGCACTATGCATGGTTTTGAAGAGTTTTCCTAGAAAAATCAACTCAGAAAACATCAAATGAACATAATTTTTGTCATCAAAACTGCATGCATCACTTGAGACTCATAATTCAGCATAGAACCATAACAAAAGGATAATAATTTATACAATTCAGAAAAAGAAACTCGAACCCTCTGTTTTCTGAGTTATATATTTGCAAATAGAAGCTGAAAGTTCCGACCTTTGGCAGCCACCGCATATCAAACACACGCATACACTAAAACTATGATACTCATCAGTAAAATTGAGTTAGAAAAACCCAATTCAGAACCACAGAATTAGTACCTGGGAGACGAGGGGCATTGAAGCGAGCATTGACTCTCGAATTTTGGCTATTTTTGGAGGCTCTGAGATTGGCTGAGCATCGGAAGAGAGGAAATCGACTGAACGGGGGAGCAGTTCTTGGTGGGTTCGAATGGAGTGGCGGCGAGCGAGGAAGTGAGTGAGGAACAGACAGTGACATCATGACTACTAGAAGAGAATCAGGGAAGGAGCTCTGCAATTGTATCTATGAACTAATTTAAAACTATAAACCCAAGCTTTGGTAGGGTTTTTTCTGTTAGCTGAAGAAGAAACTGAACTCAAGAGTCTATCTCTATTTTCGTTTTTTGGTTTTACACTAACGACGTATAATGTAAATAACAGCTTTTCCTGTTCGTACTTTTTCTACCAGTCCCGTTCTCTCGGTCACTTGCCGTTGGATTAAAATCAAGGGTGGAGAGTAGTCTGAACAATTAACTCAATTTTAATTTTTAATGCAATTGTTTTTAATAAAATAGATTTTAAAAATGTTTTCTTTTCTATTTTTAAGATTTTGATTAATTTCTTATGGCATCAGCGATACTTTTCTTTGTGTGAAGCTCCTATAAGTTAGGGACCAAGAGAACATGACTGCTTTTTCTACAGTTTTTCTACAGTGTGTTATAATATATATATTTATTTATTTTTTACAATATAATCTGAAAACATAGTGGTCATAATAATTTGTACACCAACTTTAATTTTTTTTAAAGTACAAATACATTGCAAAGAGGATTTCTCTATGAATTTAAACCAAACAAATAAATTTTAACCTAAATAAATAGAACTTGGGAAGTTGATATCCAATAATGGCTAGAGTATTAAGACATTTTTTACTACATATAGAAAAAGGAAAATTTGCACAATTGGTCTCATTGATTTATCTTGGTAGATATTATTTCCTTCTATAATAGTTAATTGTAGTGAAAGACATTCTCTCTCAGATTGTGCAAAAGGTGACTTTTTTATTAGGATCCTAAAAGAATCAAATCTGATATTGATGAAAAGTCACATGCTTTCTTGAACTTAGATTTTTCAAGAGAGAACCTCTTTTGCATAAAAGGATGGGTACCTCTCTTTGGTACTCAAGGCTTTCAAAATTGGTATGTGAGCATCTAAAATTCCGAAAATTCTGTGGTGCATCGGCTGTACCGATACAACCACATATCCAAGGGTTGAGTTTGCATATTAAAAATGGATGGCTAAGATTCAATGACTTAGTAACTTGTTGAGACCTTTGTTATTCAACACGTGAGTCGCATGTGAATATAAGAAAGGCAGGTTTGGAGGATGAAGACGACTCGCGCTCTCCTCTCTAGTTGCCCAAATCGAAAATCCTAAGGGCCTCCATGAATTCTTCTCTCTGCTTGCCCACAAACTTTTCTTTCTGCTTCGCCAGGAACTCTTCTCTCTCACTTGCCCAAATCCATCCTAAGCGCGTCCAACTCTTGTTTGTGCTTGGCCAAAACGCATCTGCAAAAAGCTACTGCTCACCGAATTGAGGTCGTCCACGAGAAAACCTAAGCCGACGCTGGCTACTCTGCCTAAGTGAGTTCTTCAACTCTTCTCTCTACTTGCCCAAAACTCATCTGCATATACCGAATTGATGGTGGGTCCAACCTCCATGATGTAATGGTCACCAAATTAGAGGTATTTAATTTAGTTTGTTCTGTTGCAATTTTCTGATACATAACTTCAATGTCGCACATTGAAGGGTGTCACTGGCCTGATATGAGATCGCCCATTTCTTTATGTGTATAGGAGCTTTGAAGCCCATTCTAGTGGGTACTACATTCAATCGATATACGAGACTCACTCTGGAACTCGAGAAAAGAGAGAGAATGGGTGGGCAAAGAGTTTGACCATTGACGACATCAGCGGGAATGGATTTGTAATAACAAAGTGGTTGTAAAGATTTCGAAGATCCTTGGCTGTTAACGACGACATTTGAGTTGGTGGTGAAAGGAAGTGTAAGGAGGAGGCGTTGAAAGTTTGGAAACATCAAGTAAGAGTTCAAAGAACCCTCTTTTCCGGGTTTTGAAGTTGAATGTATTTTGGGTAATGACCTGACTATGTGCAATTGCATGAGATTATTCATTTGTGTGTTTTGAAGAGAAAGTATGTTAGCACATAGATTATAACGTAATTTTAGTTTGAATTTATGTTTCTCATGCATGGAGAGGTCTGCTAAGATGGACAGGGGTGTAGAGACATCAAAGGGTGGTTGTAGTGATTCGGGATATCTGAGTGGTTGGAAAGGTCGAGTCACGGGGCACCGACAATAGAGAGTTCGCATATGTCGACCAAACATCCTGTAAGTCAAAGTAGTGATGATAATGGTGTTGACATTATTGTACCGAGGAAAGAAGATGTTATGGGGAAAGAGTTCAAAACGATAGAATTAGCATAAGAATATTATATGAGTTATGTAAAGGGCATTGGATTTAGCATGAGAAAAAACAAATTGGTTCATAATTCGGAAAGGAAAGTAAGTAGGAGACAGTGGTGTTGTTCTAAAGGAGGTTTGAGAAATGAGAAGTTTAATGATCGACCAGATAGGATTCGGCAACCAAAGCCAATTACAAGAGAGAATTGTCCTGCCCATTTTTGGGTGGGTTATGAGAAGAAACGTGATACTTACATCATTACAAATTTTGAATCACATCACAATCATGAATTAGTTACTCTACTTGAATCACCATATATCCGATGTAACTGTATTGTTCGAAATTCTGATTTAGCACAAGCAGTGGGAATGCGAATAACATTGGTTAGAACATGTCATACATATGAGTATATGGTCGACCAATGTGGTGAGTATTTAAATGTTGGTTTTCAAATAAAGGATCTGTACAATAAGTTGGACACACCATGCAGGGAAATTTTGCTCAATGGTGACACAAAAGCCACACTCTCTTACTTGAAAAGGAAAGAAGCAATGTATCCAAAATTCTTTTGTAAGTTTAGTGTTAACGAGGAAAATAGGCTTGGTAATTTGTTTTGGAGAGACTCCACTTCACTTTTGGATGACATTGCCTATGGTGACTTCCTCACATTCAACAACACGTACAAAACAAATATGTATGATAAGTCCCTAGTGTTGTTTGTCGGTTCCAACAACTACCGTTCTACTGTAATGTTTGGTTGCGCATTATTGCATGACGAGACATTTGAAACTTACAATTAATTATTGGAAACATTCATGGCATCCATGAAAGATAAGAAGCCAATATCAATATTGATAGATGGTGATGAGGCGATGTGTAAAGTCATTGATTATGTGTTTCTCATGTCTGACCATCAGTTGTGCTCATGGCATGTGTCAAGAAATGCACATAATAACTTGAAGGATTATGAATTGCTAAGAAATATTCAGGCATGTATTTGGGAACCATTTGTGTTGAACGAGTTTGAGAAGAAATGATGTATGCAAAAAGAGATTCATGGGCTGAATCATGTCTTAGAGGAAAGTTTTTCAGTGGTATGTGCACCATTCATTGCGTGGAGTCCATGAACAAGTATGTGAAAGATTACTTGAGGAAGGGCATGAAGTTGTTTGAATGCATTCCAACAATTGATAGGGCTATGTTACGTCTTAGGAATACCACGGCGAATGATAGTTTCAAGCAAAGTACTCAACACCAGTCCTTAAAACCGCATTGACAAAACTCGAGCAATAAGCTTCTTTGATTTACACACATAGGTGTTTTCTATTGGTACTTCACAAGATCAAATCTTGTTCAGCACTCACCCATGATCAGGTGATGTATAATTTTCGAGGTCGTGTATACGTATTGTCAAAATATAGTGAACCGCATAATAATTGGACTTGTGTTTACCACGATGGGGAAAATATGTGGATAAAGTGTGGATGCCGGAAATATAAAAGTGAAAGAATCCCGTGTTGCCACCTGTTTTATGTAATGAAGTGCGAGCACCTTATGGAAATTCCTTCATCACTCATAATGAAGAGATGGACAAAGAGTGCCCAAAGTGAAAGACGTAGCGAATTTTTCGGCAAAGGTGAAGAAACTACCAATGAAGTTGTAGAAATGACGAGGTATAGAAGTTTAAGTGTTATGTCAAACAAAATTTGTTTTTATAAATCGAAGAGTGCAGATAGCTATTTCATGTTGACGAATGAGTTTAGTAGATATGAGGGAATATGTGAAGGCTTACTTCAAAAGGAAGAAGAGACAAGTCTGAAATTGGTTAGTGCTGGGCAATGTCCTCCAAATATTGTCAAAGATCCAAATATCGTTAGGACAAAAGGCACTTAAGCAAGCCAAGATGGAACGCATAAGCGTCGACAATGTCATTTTGTCGCGGATATGGACATGCAAAGCGTAATTGCTCTCAAAGAAACTTGCATCTAAGTAGAAATGCAAGTCTGAATATCTCTTCAGGTAGTCAAAGCTATCAGTATAGTAACGAGAATGGGCCGTCCCCGGACATTAGCTACAGTTATGCTAGTCAAACGGTTTCTCAATGCAGAGGCAACTATGTGGTTGATTTGTCTTGTTCTAATAGTTTTTCTATTGCAAACCCAACTAGTTCTACCCCCAACAGTGACGATGGTTTCTTATTCGACAATGGTGAACCTATTTTCCTATCTACTGGTTCAACCTAAAACAATTGTAGTTTTGGAACTTGATTTACATGTAACAATTAACATTAAATGTAGATTTAGTGATGGACAAGATGTTCATATGATTGATATACTATTGTTTTATGCATGTATTGTTGAGAAACGGTTTTATGACTTCTATGGGGTGCTTCGATGGAAGTTCTACGTAGGCGTCAGTCATCAGAAATACATAGCATCAAAAAGGGTAAGGGACAATTATTTGAACATATTAGAATCGATAAAAAACAATTATCTGAAAATACTTAGCATTAGAAAATTGTTATGTAGCACGAATAACATTCTAAAATATACCCAATTTCGTAAACCATAATTGGTTAATCCTATTTTTTTTAATCATATCCATAGGCGCTATTATTCGACACACACAGCATGAGAAACGGTAAGGGGCAGTAAACAGAACATATTATATTACAAAACGGAGCAATGATCCCAAAAATTTAATCGTATCCATAATTTAATTGTTTGTTTCTCTTTGGGGTACGTGAATGAACACTTTTATCACCTTTGCATTTTTGGTCTGTGGAGTGTTGTTCTACATCCCGATTACCCTTAGCTGCGGCCCCGTATCCTCATCCTCATCCCCAACCTCTTTCTCTTCGATCCAAGCTTCACCTTCATCTTCGTCTTCATCTTCCTTTTCTTCTTCATCTTCCTCTTCATGTTCTTCTTCGTCTTCTTTCTTTTCTTCTTCCTCTTCCTCATTTTCTTCATGCTTTTCTGGTACCACAATTTTGGTTTTTCCTTTTCTAACATGTTTAAATTTTGAGTGAAACTCCTACATATAGTGAAACATTAACATATATAAATAATCAATTTTGTTCCATTTTTTTTGTGTACACGAGTAATGATGGTTTGCATTGCAGAATTTAACATATTATTAAAAATTGCAAAATTGAACATCTTATAAATCAAATGGGGCAATGGAGGTAACAAACTTACATGTACTGCATCATCATCTAAGATGTCTTGACCAATATCTTCACTTGCAATGGTTGTCCCCTTGGTGTTCTTCAATATCTCCTATTACAATATAACATCGTTCATGTTCATTCTTGGTCTCTTATTTCAATATAATATCGGTGATGTTCGTTAATTTTATGAAATCACTATAAAATGAAGCTGAACTGACTCACAATTTCTTGCCGTAGGCGCTTGATCTCTATGCTTGCTTCCAATGAAGTTGAAAATAGTAGGACATTCAACCCAGCATTCAACTCCAAAATCTCGGTTGCAGCTTCAACAATTACCTGCATTCAGGCACATGCAATTACAACAATCACCACTGGAAGCTATCAATTATGAATAAATTATGCAATGGAAACTACTTTCATGGGTTACACCATCAGGTAATGGTAGATCAGCGCTATCTTGTCCACGGGTATCCACACAAGTTTACTTCCACTATCGGCGGCCCAGCTTGGTGTTCACACTGACCATGCCTGAGGAAAGATGTTTCCAACCCTTATATTCACACATTCGGGAGTTCTATGTTGTTCTTCCTATGGAATTGAGGTATAATGTTAGTTTTTAGAATATAAAAAATTCAATTTTATGCAGGAAGTGTAACTACATAACACATGTTTAGTGTAGAACCTACCGCTTCACGTAAGTCCTTATAATGCCTATAACTTATGTACTCATCTTTATACTTGGAATAGTCGGATGAATTTGCAAGCCATTCCGAAGCTGGGTACCCGTTAAGTGCTTCCATGACTTCTGACTCATTAGTGAGCTTTGCCTGCAATACAAATTGGTTACCTTTGCGTATGATATATTTTTTTGGTAATAAAATCTCGATTCAAGAGTCAACGCTTTATACCTGATCATTTGTTAGATGTTGCATGCATCATGACTCTAAAATGTACAAACCACCTCAATGCTCGGGGACACGTGTTCAAAGTCCCACTGGGCTTTGCTAAAGCAAACGACTTTAGGTACTTGTAGGCCCATACCTACACAAACAATTATATAAATTAGCAATTTAAGCAAAAAAGTCTGTTGCACTTTGGGGACATCCAATTCGATTACACTAACCTCTCATGCCCTCTAACACCGGCCTATGCTTGAGGACCTACCCCTAAAATAAGAATCCATTTATCTATACAAGCAAGCCAAAGCCGCACCGCCCCAATCGTAATTACCAATGTCTGAGACTATTTCCAGACTGGGGGGCGTATTGCATACTCACGTATTGCCTCTTATCATTTAGGAATGAGGAGTCAATCAAGCACAGTATAAATGTCATTGTAAATTGGTCGGCTTCTTTATCATCTTTCAGAATCTTCTTCCAGTATGGGGTAGAAAGGCTTTCATACACTCTCCTTTCGCCTGCCAGTAGGTCTGCAATTGGTTTCCCAAACAATTTAACTAGCTTGTTCTTATTTTTGTAAATCTCCAAGTCGTACTTTAATCACTTCCTACCAACACGCAATCCTATGATTGCTGCGAAGTCCATGGGGGTCATCGTCCTCTCTAACTTCATCGAAATGGAATGTATGGGTAGTGTCCCACCATCTCTCAGCTAAAGCCGCAAGTAATGGCCTATCCCTTTTCTTTCCATGCCTCAATATTAACAAAAAGGTCAAAAGTCAGCTTGTTTGACCTTCGCTTTCACAGTGTCGTACATTGCTGTGTTATATCATGTGGCACACTTGTTAATGTTTCCACACCCTCTGATTTGTTTTAAAATAAGTTGCATAAAAAACAAAACATCATTCATCTCAATTTGATTGTAACCCACTTAATTACAATTTATTCCAAAGTGAGAAATGCGAATTATAAAATAAAATAAGAATACATTGAAGGAGATATGTTCCTCCAATTTCACGTGAAGCAAGGGTGAACAAGGATTTCGATCCATTGGTATGAACACACATACACCAAACACCCCCACTACCCATAGGACTCGAGAGTTGTTTTGCTGGCTTCCGTTTTTTGAGCTTGAGGTAGCCACTGAAGACTTACTTTTAGTAGGCTTTGCAAGTGCGGTCTTCCATAACCAGGAACCTTCATGAGATGATTCAACCGCAATGGACTTGTTCTTGGTCCTTCTTGTTACTTGGAATATCCTTCAACTTTAATACAGTAACAATAACTTTGATAAACATGTTCATACTAGAAATTAGTTTATCATTGAAACAATTGGTACATAATTTTTTTTGGGCAAGTAGAGCATACTTTGTTAATGAATGTATATTGGCATTATGTATGAATTAGCAATATCAGATAAGTATGTCACATGATATATCATGCCATTATTAAAGAATTTTTTTTTCCTTTTCAGAGACAAAGCTACACCTAACACTGCATACTTTGTTTCATCGAGCAACAGTATCTAATTACCCATCCAAACCATCAAATATTTTCATTGGAGATTAAATGTGACAAATTCTAAAATCACAGCGTACCATTTCAAATTTTGAAACAGAGAGATCTCATTCCAAGCTATTTACCCAATTAATAAGCAGTATAGTCATTTCATTAATTAATAACAGTAAGAGGAAATTATCCAAAACTCAAAAAAAAAGGAAGAGCAGAACAAAAATAATCAAAATAGCACTAAGAACTAAAGAAATGATTAAACCACTTTTTACTTTGCCTAACTTCATTTGAAAATTATGATCCATTCAAGTTGGTAATTTAGAATATTAGGTTAAGATTATGCTTTCATATTTCAGTACTCAAGGAGTTTACATTCACAGAAACCCTTTTCAGCCTTGGACTTGAACAAAAATGCACTTGAAGGAAGAATGGTAGAGTTTTGTAGCTAATGACGTTTGATTATTCACACGCACTCGAAGAAAGAAGGCTAGGGTTTTGTCCAAACTAAGGAACAAATTATAGCCAGTGCAAATGTCAGTCCAAGGCCAATGGCAAGACCCTCAAATCGTTTGTTTAGCATCCCAAATTCCATCTACTCAGACGAAATAATTACAATATCCAGGAGGAACCCCAAACTGAGGAACCCTAAACCCTCATACAAATCACCAAATATCTTAGGATTTTTCCTCATGTAAATCCTCATGTGCACATTTAGAAATATAACTGAATGAATATGATTGAAGTCCTTACCTTTGAGATGGACTTTGCGACCCGACAAACAAGGGTTTGGGGGAGAGAAGGGCAGTCGACAGAGACAGTGAGAGAGAGCCAGAACTGTGAGTGAAGAAGGAGGACACAGGTGAATTGAGTGAGTGAAAAGGCGGGAGAGAGTGAAACGCCAAGTTGAATTCAACCAAAGACAGAGGAGTAAGAGATAGCGCAAGACTGAGAAACTGAAGCAGTCCCAATTTCATATTTTGAAAATTTTTGGGCTAGTTCTTCTTCACGGGTTCGTGGGCTTTAAGGAGGAGTAATACTTCAAAAATAACAACGGCACCCCACAATATTGTGTTTGGGCTTGGGGTATATGGTTAAAATATGAATTGGGTTTGGGCTTTAGGGGTACAATTCAAATGGGTTTGGGTTTTCAGTTTGAATTGGGATTGGGCGTAACGGTTAAAATTGAATTGAGTTTGGACTTTAGGGTTAAAATTAAATTGGGTTGGGCTTTATGGTTAAAATTGAATTGGGTTTGGGCTTCAGGGATCGTATGAATTCGGTTTTGGCTTTATGATTAAAATTTAAGGGTTTAGGGTTTAGGGTTTACGGTTAAAATAGAATTGGGTTAGGCTTTAGGGTTAAAATTGAATTCCTATTTGGGTTTTAGGGTTAAAATCAAATTCGGTTGGACTTTTAAGATCATATGAATTCAGTTTGGGTTTTAGAGTTAAAATTCAAGGGTTTACGGTTTACGGTTTCTGGTTTAAGGTTTACAGTTAAAATTGAATTGGATTGGGCTTTAAGGTTAACATTGAATTCCGGTTTGGATTTTAGGGTTAAAATTGAATTGGGTTTAGGCTTTATAGTTAAAATTGAATTGGGTTGGGCTTTACAGTTACAATTGAATTGAGTTGGGCTTTAGGGTTCAATGTATGATTTATGGTTACAATTGTATTGGATTCAAGTTATAAAGTGTCCCCAGGCTTGGGTTTTAATCTTTTTAACTGTTTCAATTAGTTTGTAATTGGTATGTATAGTTTTTTAAAATTAGCGATACTTTTGCAAACAGTTGGAATTTCAACTGTCCATTAATTAGGAAAAATATTTATTTGAATTTGTTTTTTTAAAACTCTATCAAATGTTATTGCAAAAAAAAAAAAAAAAAAAAAAAAAAAATGTATTTGAGGGAAGTATTTCTTTTAATTTTCAAATGTTTAAATAAATCAATTGCTTATCCCTTTTATTCCAAATGGACGATTTTACCTCTATATGTTTCTATTAAACAACCTCTCATGTCCAAAAAAATTTAGATCATCTTATCATACACTCTCTAACTTATCTATTTTCACCAAAATCATGGAAAAAAATAAGTGTGTTGTGAAGAAAGGATTTAGGGGTGATGTACCCAGTAATATGAAAATCACTACACGTGGTTTGTTTAGTGGTGCGAACAAAGCCATTAGACAAGACTCTGCAAGTGAACAAGTGCAGGAGTTGGTTCCCGTGGTGCGTTTTGTGCCTGAAATAATGACATGATATGTCCTCCTACAAAAAATTGTCTACCACCTTCTGATCCGATAGATCCACCTCCGCCAATTATTGAGCCCTACTTATACTCAAATGTGTCGGAGTATGACGACTGAGAACCCCTTACGTGTATGATGTGGGGGAATCTTTATTTTCTTATAAAGCTAATGATACGATATGTGTAATCTTCAAATGTCGGGGTAGTATGCATTGCCCATGTGAGTGACATATGTAGGTTGTTGGATAATTGGTGCTACAACGTATAACACCTCATACCAGCTTTAGGAATTGTGAGCACTATGCTCCATAAGTTGTTATGGTGCTACGTGACTACTTGGTTAGTATACATTTTTCACATTACGCAAGTTTGCACCCAAAATTTTGTCAAACCTCGAAGGCCTTTCTTGTTAGGCATGGTTAATGTAGACTTGGATCCTGACAAGGTTGATAATTTTAGAAGTTGCTAGATCTTAAGGGTTATTTCTTGTTGTGTCTGGTTGTTGTTGGTATTTATCCTAACCAGGTGGTGGGCCTTGCCTACTAGTGCAATATTCTCACTCATCAATCATTTTCCTACATGCATATCAGTCATTCAATCTCCTATCTTCCTCATCAATGGATCTGAATTCAACAACTCCCTCCTACAACTTATTGCCTTTATAGAACACATCATCATCCTTTTATACTCATAATTGTACGAGGATGAAAGGATTTATCTCTAGATGCGCCATTTCATATTCCTAGCAAAATATACCATAAATTTCCATATGGTGTTTTGAGAACCATGTTGGATTTTTCATCAATGCCATTTAATTTTACAAATTTCAGTGGAATAGTCATATAAAAATTGGCACGCATTACATGAGTTTCTGTAAGCTCTATCATGAAGGATGAATGATTTCTTAAGGTTGAGGGTGTCATCCTATTGTTAGAGCATTTCCAGCAATGGGCAGGCTGGGCTGGGGGGGGGGGGGGGGGGGGGGGTGGGTGGGTACTGTAGGCGTTTCCAGCAACAAAATGGAGCCCGGGCAAGAGGTGGGGGCCAGCAGCCTGGGCTGGCCCGAGGTGGGGTTCGGCCTGCATGCTTGCCTGCGGGTTGAGATGATGTTATGATGACTTCACTTCCTTTGTTCCCAACAAAAAAAAGAAAAAAATGTAAAAAAATACCCAAAAAATACTGAAATTGTTTTCTATAAATAACAACCAATACTCTTCACTTTTAACACCAACAACCAATATTTTTGTAATAAAAAATACCAAAAAATTACTTTTTTTTTCTCTCTCTATACCTTATTTCCATTTTCAACATTTAAGTAAATGTCTTTGTCCTTTTACTTTTATTTATTTTTATATTACTCCATTTACTTAAGTTTACAATGTAAATAAGGAAGTACCCCTCATTTGGATTCAAATAAAAATACTAGAAAATCAAATTCCCACCAAATCAAAATATGAAAAATCGGTTTTAGTGCAAAATACGATTTAGGCTAAAAATGATGGCTCATTAAGTCAATATATACTTCATATTAAAATCCCATAAAATCAAGTTTTCTTATTTGATGTGTAAGGAATAAAAGCCGCCAAAAATTTTCTTGAGAAAATGATTATTTCGAAAAACCATTTTTCATACTTAGTCAATATTGCACCTCCGCTAAAAATCTTGAGAAAATGATTTTTCATACGTAGGAACCCAAAAATCTTATCCGAAAATATTATCCAAATTAATTGTTTAAGTAAACAAAGTTGTGAAAAAAAACAAAAAAATGAATAGTATTTGCCATGACAAACCTAAACTGCTGGAAACACACTTTGCTAAGGGAGGGTAGGGCAGCCACTATTCACGTGAATAGTACCCGCCCTAGGGCTCCCCTTGCCATGGCAAGGGGCTAACTGGTGGAAGTGCTCTTAGCAAGATTCATAATAGGTGGAAACTTCTTCACATAGTCATGTGAGTTGCACACTTCACACTAAAAATTTATTAACACTAAAACCTAATTAAACCAGCCACTATTCCTAAGCACAGTGAAAGGACTTAGTTACCCCCATTTTACTACTCTTTACCGCTTTTTTGTCCTAGAGCACAAAGAAATAACCAAATTACCCATCTCTAAAACTTTTATGTCTTTCCTTTTTTGCCCATTCCCCTTCGAATCCTTTTGATTGCAACTGTCTCTTTCTCTTAGAGAAATGCATAATTTATAACCATGCTGGTTGGGCTGGTTGGGGGACAAGAATGGGAGATCCGGCTTCATTGTTGAAGATCCGTTTTGGGGTAGTGTACTGTGAATTGAACCGTCGTTTTAGTCTTCATTTGATCATTTTTCCACTAAGTTGTTATGTTTGAGTGCTTGGTCTTTCAGTCCATTCTTGTTAAAAGATGGAAGGTTGTTTAACAATTCTTGGTAGATTCTTATACAACACTTAAAGAAGATTGATTGGATTACATTAGAATTTATTTATTTATTTATTTATTTTTAGAAGTGAGGTTTGTAAAGGTATTTATGATGCATTTTCAAAGGGTGATTTGAAGACATGCTTAATAATTATCAATATGCTATGAAAATTTGAAGACAATATGGTCATTCTTATTTGTTTATAACATTCACCTAGAATGTCAAATGACCTAAAACTGTAAGAGAGCTTGATAGGAAACCTTGATACAAGCCAGAGGATATACCTGATTTAGTTTCTAGATTATTTAAAATGAAGTTTGATGATATGATCAGTTATATCAAATAAGGAAAACCTTTTGGAGAAACTGAGGCATGTGAATTATAATACTCACCATTTTGTTTGGTTATGGTGCATGTTATGTTATACTCTTTGGTGGGTGCAGAGTGTAAATTTATGTTTTCTTTTTTGTTTAGATAAGGCAATACTCCTAAACTTATTTTCATTATTATAGTCCATATTACAAACTACATATATATATATATATTGTTATTTTTACTAAAACTTTGTCAGTTATCTACACTGACAAATGCCATTTTTCCAATTTGTAAAACCAAAGTGAAAACACATGTACATGAGAAGAAAGAAGAGAAGCCACCTCTACAACCGGGCTAAGAAAAGAAAAAATCCCCTTCCAGATGACATAAAAACTCGTGATAAACCAAAAAGCTGTGAAGGGAGAAGTTGTATTGTCGATTCATGTATATTTTTAGCTTCACCACCTAGTTGTTGCTCATGAAAAACCATTTCATCAACATAGAATACATTGTAATGTATATCTTTGAGTAACTACTCAAAGCTCAGGATCTGTTTTCCAAACTCTACATAGACTAGCAATATGTAGTTGAGGCGATGATTCTTTATTAGGGTATCTTGTTTGTGAGAACCAGTCGTAGTCTTTATTATTTGTTTGTGCGTTCATCTCTCCATCTAAGAAATGATCTCTTATCGGGAAAGGTTGTAATAGTTTTTTGCACACTACTTGGCATATAGAACATGTTATTAATCTATCTTTTGTGACTTAAACTTGCTAAACAAAACAACACAACACAATTTAGATTAAATAATATTGTCTCCAATTTCTAAGCCATGATGCTTTAAAAATTTGTTCCAACCACCACTTTCAAAATAATGCAATCCATCCTTATGCTTACCAACTTTAACCTGTCAAGATCCATGACAGCTTTTCAGACGTGTTTTCTTCATTTCATAGAGGCTTCTAGAAAACTATACTAGAATTGGAAGTCTGCAGTGGAACCCATAAGTCAAACACTTGAAAAATCCTCAGGGAGATGGAATTAACCGTAAATTCGACGCATGCGGGGAGTATCCCATAGACTCCATAAGATCTCATTTACCAAATGAGTGAAGCAATACAATGGCAAAGGACAATGGTGCTTTAGGGAATGTTCAGGAAAAAAAAAACACAGGACCTTTATGGTTTTGTTCTCTTACCACAGGCAGAGGTGAATGGTTAAATATAGAGGCGATGGTCGGCCAAAATTTGTAAATGGAAACGTGACCGGCAACGTTTGCCTCCTTAAAAGTGGTTGGTCGGCTAGAAATGTTTGTCGAACACCTCGCATCAATGATTAACTCTAAAGAACTTGTTAAAATATGGATCAATGACATTTTATGTAATTTTAGGGTTTTTTAAAAAACATTATTGTAAAATTAGATAGTATATTTTAGTGATTGAACTTATTTAGAATAAAGAAAATTATGTTATTATCTTCCACATTATTAAGTATGTTATTGACTTTAAACCAAATCTCCTCCCTTCCTTCTCATAAAACTGAACTAAACAACTCCCTTATTAAGTTTGTTACCTTTTGTTCTCATAGTCATACGAGAAAGGAAGGGTTTACTTCTATGTGTGTCATTCCAAGTTCCTAGCTCAACATACCATGAATTTTGCTTGCAACATGCCAAAGTGGGTAACCTAAGGCACGATGGGCCAAATCTCGCCCTGGCCCAAAAAAGCTTGTATAAGCCTTAGGAGTGGGCACAGTTCGGTTTGGACCGGTTTTGCCTCAAATTGGAATCGAATTTGGTACTATTTATTCGGTTCGGTTCGGTTTTAACAAAAAAAATTATAAAATCATTCGATTTGGGTTGAACCGGTTCGATTTTGAACCGGATTATTATTATTATCTTTTCAAATGATGTTTTTATACAAATTTCAACTTAAAATTTATTTATTTTGGCTTGAAAATTAACAAATTATTCAATTTCATACAAAAAGAAATATTAAGGCTAGAAAAGAGAGATGTTTTGAAATTGAATTTGGATAATTATTAGTTATGAGATTAAAAATATAGCATTAGATATAAATAAATATTAAAATTATATATTTTTTAATTTGGCCGGTTTGGTTCGGCTCGGTTCGGTTTGTTGGGAATATAGAATCGGAACGGGAACCGATTGGAACCAGTTCGGTTCAGTTTTTTGGATTGAGTTTGACTTTTTGGTCAACGCCCTTTTTTTTTAGTTTTTTCTGGTCCGGTTTGGTTCAATGATCTGTTCTTTGGTTCTGATGCCCACTCCTAATAAGCCTAGCCCACCAGTAATTAAAATAAATAATGAAAATAATAGTATAGAAATATTCAAATATGTCTAGTAATAGCCTAGGGGTGGTTGCGGTTCGGTAACCGCGAATTTTTACTCAAACCGCCGACCGACTATTTGCGGTTTAGTGATTTTTGAAACCGCAAACCGACCGACTATTTGCGGTTTACCGCTTGGTTACCGCGAATTAGCGGTTTAAAACCGCAAGTTTTCAAGCATTCACAAAAATATAAATTCACAACCTAAATAAAAAAATACACAACCTCAATTTCTCACACATATATAAATTCACAATCTCCTCAACTTCTCAAGCATTCACAACCTAAAAAAATTAAAGTTACAATTCCAAGCATTCCAATTAAAGTTAAACTTCTCAAGCATTCAAATTCCAAATCCTTTAAAGTTATAAACCAAAAGGAAAATGCAAAGTAAAATGAATTAAAGTTACAACAAAAAAGAAAAATCCAATTCAAAGTTAATTAAGGTTACAAACTAAAAGGAAAATGCAATGCACAAATGTTACAAACTAAAGTTACAAACTCAAGTGTTGGTGGTGAGTGGATTTGAAGAACCTCGTTGTGTTGTTTGAGCACCGATGTTATCTACAAATAAAACAACATAGTTTAGTACATTTTATTATAAGAAGAAGCATAAATAACATTAGCATAAATAAACTAATTACTTACAAGTTGTCATATGTTCCATTTCCTTGTAGAATTCAACTTCATCATCCGTGCGGCTATACTTTGCAGTTTGCGGTAACCGCAAGTTTTGAAAATCAAATACCGCAACCGCAACCGCAAATGCAGTTCGGTTCTTAATACCGCAAATGCGGTTTGGTTTACCGCGATTGCGGTTTCATTGCGGTAAATTATCGGTTGGTTTTTGCGGTTTTTTCGGTTTAAAATGACACCCCTATTTAAAAAAAAAAAAAAAAAAAAAAAAAAAAAAAAAAAAAAAAAAAAAAAAAAAACTAGAAAACAAAAAAAAAAAAAAAAAACTCAACACACACCAACAAAAAACTATCACAAGTGGGCTAATGAAATGCTAAAGGTTGTAAGCAAAAAAAAACTATAATAACTCTATTTCATGCGTGTTTCCAATGGCTACAATCCATTTAGTAATCCAATTCTCCCTTATACACCTCCAACGACTACAATGCTCGCAATGACTACATCTCCTCTCCAATGGCTCCATTATTATGGTCTTTTTTTTTAATAGACCATATACGATAAGTAGTGGGTCATGTTACGGTGTGTATTATCCAACATCTTGCCGTCTTATTTCATGTTTAATTAATATTCTTGATGTTAAATTATGCTACAATTATCAAATTATTCAAAATCCTTTAGTTGTAATGAAGACAAAGTTTGATAAATATTGGGAAACTTTTCCTCCTATATTTTGTTTTGCTTCTATTATGGATCCTACATATAATTACCTGCAATTGCATCATAGTTACAAGCTAGAGGTTATAATGAATCAACAATTGATTTGACATTGAAAATTTAAAGGATTCATTGGTTGAATTATATAACCACTACAAGAGCAATGTAGCGATTGCACATACAAGTTTAAGCTCTACATAAATAAGCCCAAGCCTTGGTTCTATAGATCTTCGATTCTTGATCATAATGATTTTGCTAAAACGCGTGTTTAAAAACTAAGGTACCTACATCTTCTTCTACCCTTACTTTCGATTTGCAATACTATTTAGATTGACAAGCAATATAAGTTGATAATCCTAGTACTTTTAATGTTTTGTTATATGGTTGAAAATACATGAACAAATATATCCTACACTTTCCATTATGACTGGTGCTATACTTACAATTCCAGCTTGACTATATCATCTGGATCTGCTTTTAGCACACTTGGTCGAGTTGTATCTAAAAAAGAGGTACTTTGAATCAAGATTGCAAGACAAATCAAGGGAGGAAGAATGCGATGAAGAATTGAAGAATATAAAACTAAGAAGACTGAATCTCCTCCCTTCCTCCTCAATAGAACCGAACCAAACAACTCCCTCCTTCAGTTTGTTGCCCCTACAAAATGCACCTCATCCTTTCGTTTTAATAGTTGTACGAGGAAGGAAGGGTTTACCTCTTGGTGCACCATTCAAGTTCCGAACTCAACATGTCATGAATTTTCATATGGTATTATAAGAACCATGTGAGGTGCATTACATGAGTTTCTGTAAGCTCTATCATGAAGGACGAATGATTTCTTGAGGTTGAGGGTGTCATCCTACTATTAGCAACATTCCATGTGAGGTGCAAACTATCACATTGAAAATTTGTGCTCAATGACTAGAAGTTCTCTAACTTTTAAGCCATGATGCTTCACAAATTTTTTCCAACCACCACCTTCAAAATAATGCAATCCATCTCTATGCTTACCAACTTTAACAAACCAAGATCTGTGACAGCTTTTAAGACATGCCTTCTTCATTTCATGGAGAGTTTTAAAAAACTCTACTAGAATTGAACGTTTACATTGGAACCGAGGAGCCAAACACTTGAAAAATCCTCCAGGAGGAGGAGTTTATAGTAAATTCGACACAGGAAGGGAGGGTCCCACATATGCCATAAGATATCCTTTATCAAAATGACTAAAGAAATGAAATGGCAAATAACAAAGGTGCTTTAGGGTTTCAATTCATATAAAAAATAGAGGACCTATATGGTTTGGTTGCCTTACCGTCTCATTCTGAGGTGAATAGTTAAATATATAAGCTAAAATGGCTTCTAGCATTGCTGAAACGCAGCATTGAGTCATAGAGAACGGGTGGCGATACCATTTGATGGCATTGACTAGAGCTTGTACGATGATGGCTTGAGTCATTCGCTACTACTCTTTTTAAGTCCCGCTCTTTGCTTTTCGTCTCTCTGTCTGATTTATAGGATTGTTATATCGCCATATCCATGATGTACAAATCAATACAACAAATTTACTAAGTTATAAACTATTCATAATATGAATCATCACATAATATTTAATATGGCCGATACATAGGTAGTGCCCGGAGCCAGTGTTGGTTGCCGGATGTGGTGGTCAGTTGGAGTTTTGATGAAGACGTGCCGGAGGTGGTGGCTAGCATAAGGTTTGGTAAAAGGTGGTGATGGCCAAAATTTGTAGATGGAAAGGAGGTTAGCCAAAATTGGACTCTGGAAAGGTGGATGGTTAACCAAAAATGATTTAGGAAAGTGCACCGTATCTCTTTGGAACTCAATGCGGAAGACAAAAGGGAACGGTGTGGGAAAGTGCATTGTATCTCTTTGGAAAGCGAATGGAAGAATAATGTGGCGTCATGGCTTTTTATAACCGCCTATCCTCAGAATTTGAAGAGTCAACAACCTGCAGTACATTAGACCTAGAGTCAATGCACCAGCAAAGTACCTGAACAAGGAAAATTCATGTCTTCCGTATTGTACGTGAAGCACAAAAGTTGGGGCATATATGGAAGCACAAAATATCACCTCAGCCTAGAGCACGCCACGTGGACTCTCAACACCCAAACTTTTATGAAGTATTTTAAAGTAGTGATTGAATACATTCAAATTTGAATGGATTTTAAAAAGTCTGAATTGAATACACTCAGAATTGTATAGACTTCTATAAAATCGTGATGTAATACACTTGAAGTTTTAAAATTCTTTAAAATATTTTAAAATCTAAATTGAATACACCCCCAAAATATGAAGGTAAATGTCCTTTTTTTCTATCCAAAAAAAGAAAAGAAGGTAAATGGCACGTATTGTAATTTAGTTAGTAATACTATGACAAATCTATCATACATGGCAACTTATTTTAAATTTGGGTTTTAAGTACAAATTTAAAAGTAGGTGTGTATGTGTCTAGGTTATAGTAATTTTAAGGGCCTATATTGAAATGGCCCTATATGTATGTACACACACGCACACACACACACACACACACACACACACACACACACACACACACAGCTTATTTGAGGACACCCTTGTAGGGCTCACTTTGTGTTGTATTTCACTAATCCAAATCGTCTATTTTATAGATATTCATTTAAAGATATTCTCTTAAAAAAAATCACTTGAATCCGATATCATTTGACCACTCAATTAAATTATTGAAATTTAAGTACTTTCTTGAAATACTGTGTTAATTGACTTCGTTGGTATTAATTAGATGCCTTAATGATTCAATTTGCATGATTTTTTGCAAGGATGATCTTTGAATGAAGATGTGAAAAATAGATGGTTTGGATCGTTGAATTTTTTTTGGTAAGGGGCCCTAAATGGTTATTTGAGAGATCCATTAATAAAAAGGAACTATATATATATCTTCTATTGAGGGATCCCTCAAATAAGTTTGAGGGACACCATTGTAAGACCCACTCTGCATTGTATTTCACTAATCTAAATTATGTATTTTTTGGATAATCATTCAAAGATCATCTCTACAAAAAATCACTTGAATACGATATCATTTGAGCACTCAATTAAGTTATTGAAATTTTAGTGATTTCTTGAAGCAATGTGTTTATTGATTTTGTAGGACACAATTGGATGTTGAAACGGTTTCCAATTTGTCTAATTTGCTGCAAGGATAATATGTGAATTTAGGCTTAGAAAATAGATGGTTTAGATTGTTGAAAAAAATTCGTAGAGAATCCCACAAGGTCAAATAAAAGGGGATTATATATATAAATTTTCTCTTATGAGGACATCCAGACGTTATTACTGTGCAGATGCCATATATTTTCTACTACCCCTTCGTACTTTCTTCTATATTTACATGACTCTTGCACGATAATAACATCCGGACATCCGTATAAGAGAATTTATATATATAATTTTGAAGCGCTTTAAATGGTGGTCCTCATACGATCCCAAAAAACGGTGGTCCGTCCTCCCCCTGCATAAGGCCATTGATTGCTTGCTGTTTATTTTATGTAATCTTCAAAAAAGCTAGTTGCCAATACCATGAACAAAGACCAAAGTTTTCTGACGAGGTTTTCAAAGAACTTTTTTGGGTCAACATGGTTCACGGACAGAACTTTATAGCTAATGGTCGGCAATATTAAATTTGTAAAGGTGGATGTTGGAGTAGTTAATTGTAACCATTTCTCTCCATAAAATATGGTTGTAATTGATGTAGGTATTAATTTGGAATGCTTTTAATTTATTTAAACATTAAATTTCATATTTATACTTGCATCAATTATACATAATTTAAGAACTAAAATGCTATTTTTTTTTAATGAAAACTATGTCAACTTTTTATATTTGTGTGAATTATATGTGATTTTAAGAAAATTTTCTACTTGCCTTTATAAATAAACATAATAATGGTTTCAAAAATATAATGTACCTAATCATTTAATTTTTCATGAACGAAAAATTTCTTTTTATCTTATAAATAAAAAGATTGTATATATAATGTACCTACTTATTTCATTTTTCATGAAAGAAAAATTTCTCTAATAATGCACTTATTTTTAATTAAAGAAAACTGTGCAAAGTTTTCAATTGCACAACGTAACTATTTTCTGACAAAAATACCTTTTTATATTGTAAATAGTATCTATATGTTTTGTTTGTAAATAACATATCTATATTTCCTATAAATTATTATGTACCTAATTTTAATTTATGAAAAATGTACATAAATTTCAATTACCAAATTAACTGACATTTTTTATTATAAATTATGTACCTATTTTTTTCTATAAAGACTGTACCGATATATATATATATATATGTGTGTGTGTGTATATATATATATATTATTTTTACAGGTACATTATTTATTGTATATGTTTTTCAGGGATTTTTTTTTGGTTCACATCTTTTTTTAGAAATCTCCAGGGTTAGAGGGAGTGCGAACCAAAAGAAATGAGATATTTTATATGCTATTAATATATAGAATTAATTATAAGTAAGCCAGCTAATGGTATGATTGAAAATAAATATGAAGGTAAATGACATGTATTGTAATTTAGTTAATAATACTGGGACAAATTTATCTGACATGACAAACCTATTTTAAATTTGGGTTTTAAGTAAATATTTAAAAGTAAGTGGGTATGTGTCTAGGATATAGTAATTTTAAGGGCCCATATTGGAACATGGTATCATTTGACTATTCAATTAAATTACTGAAATCACTTGAATCACTTGAATAAGATATCATTTACTATTAAATTGAATTACTAA